AATATTTCATATTACGATAAATTTTGCCCACCTAACGCTTGTCGAAAGTTCAAATCAGAACATAGACAAAATATGGGATATTTCACACTTCTGAATGCTTGTCCTTGTACTGTATTTCAGAAATCATACGGGAAAAACTACAAACAATAAATTTTGAAATCTGACTTGATGGGCATTCAGTGTTGCTTCAAAAAAGATGAGAAACTACCTACTCGGCCATCAGGGTCACCTGATTCGCCAAATGTCAAAAGTTACGATAATTGATCGTTGAAAATAGGCTAGTTTGTTCGAATATCAAAAAAGTTTACGAAAAATAGTTATTTATGATACAAGGGAAAAAAGTAGTAGATTTTAGCTCCAGAGACAAAAACCGTGATCTAAAATCTAACATATTTCCCGTGTATAATACACTATTTTTTTCTGTGACAGTGAAAAGGACGGATCGATATCGAGAATATATAATCGTTTGGTAAGGATCCTGGAATTTGCGGCAGCGAGAGATGTCATACCGAAATGCACTCTATGACCAAGTAGGATAATCTTCAGTGATATACACTGCTCGCCAACAGCCAACACCACTCCAATTTTCGGAAAATGATATTAGGAGTCAAAATAGGTCGAAAATCACTTCAGATTCGGAATCAGGACGCCCAATTCATCAACAATTTATATTTTTCTTGTAAAATTTTCAGTTCTGAAAAATTAAATTTTCTCACACTTTTTTCGGAAGCACCCTCGTATTTTACGTCATTGACATTATCTCTGAACTCTCTCTTCCTCCTGCAAATTTCAGAACCCTACCTCAATAATTACGTGAGATACGGAGGTGTTTCCATGAAAGTGAGATTTTCTAGGAAAACTATGAATAGTTGGTGAATTGGACGTCCTGATTCCGAATCCGAAGTGATTTTCAGTGTATATCACTGAAGATGAGTCTACTTGGTCATAGAGTGCATCTACTTGTTCAGGATTTATTTGAGGCATTTTATGTAATTTTAGTCAATAAAACAAGACACTTAATTAATGGCACAACGGACAAATGGTCAAATATGGAGGCATACAACAAATAAGTTGCTATGGCAACGGCATTTGTTTCTTTAAAGACAATGTGATCCTACCAGAGTACAACCCAATTGATTTTGAGTACTTTGATCTCTCAATGAATTTAATTTGTGGGATAAGCGCAGGATATCAGCAAAAAAGCTGTAATTCGGAAAATTTTAGAGATAAATCAATGAATAAAAAACAAAATGCTCGCAAAAGAAGCCTCTTTCGTATAGGGTATGAGCACGTTCTATGCCATTACTCTATCAACACACAGGGTGAGTCAAAAATTAAGAATAAATCATGGTTCGAGTTATTCCACCACCATCAAGGAGGCTTTGAAAAAATGTTCACCTCTTTATTTTTTTTTTGAAAATGCATTACCTACCAACAAATAAAAAAAAATCGGCCTACTATTTTTTGTTTTTTTTTAAGAAGAGATCAAATATCAAGTGCGTCACTTTTTTTGGAACTGAGTGTATATGTGATATACAGGGTGATCCACGGTGGATAGCCTATTAGAAGTATCTGGAGAACGAAAAGACAGAACATTCTGAAAATTGGGATGCTTTGATAATTGATCATCCTCTATCCGTCTAAAATATTTTCATCGATACAGTGTTGCCACTTCTATCAGAAACAACTAGGAACTCTGTTATTTCAAATGGAACACCGTATTTTATTGCATTTTCAAATTCTTTCTGAAGAGATGCCTTCATCAATGCATCACACTTGGGGTCTAGCAGGAATGATTACAGATATATAGGGTGCTCAATATCGAGAATTTTCAATATTAGGATTTTTTTGTGTCGAAATTATTCATTATCGATCAAAACGGATCACATGTCCCTATCTCAGCTTTTGATTCACTATCTACTGGAATTTAATTGGAAAAAATACAGGGTGCTTCAAGATTCAGAATTTTGATCACCCTGTATCTGTTCCAATTAAATGTCAGTAGATAGTGAATCGAAAGTTAAGATAGGGACATGCAAGCCGTTTTGATCGACAATGAATAGTTTCGACAAAAAAAATTCCTGAAATTGAAAAATCTCGATTTTGAACACCTTATATCTCTGTAATCATTCCTGGTAGACCCCAAATGTGATGCATTGATGAAATCAGCTCTTCAGGAACAATCTAAAAATGCTATAAAATACAGGGTGCTCTATTTAAGATAACGAAGTTGCTAGTTGTTTCTGATAGAACTGGCAACATTGTAACGATGAAAATATTTCAGACGGATAGAGAATGTTCAATTATGAAAGCATCCCAATTTTCAGAATGTTCTGTCGTCTCGTTCTCCAGATACTTTTATTAGGCCATCCACCGTGAATCACCCTGTATATCCGGGAAAAAAGCAATGACTTTTTTACCGTGATAAAAATTACTCACGTTTTTCCCGTGGGAAAAGAGTAGGTAATTTATGAAAAGTGACATTTCATAACTTGTCAACAGAAATGAAATTTCAAACTATTTTCCCGTCACAGAAAAAAGTTGTTGCTATTCCGATTCCACATATCTGCATGTCTGATAATTTGAACGTTCTGTTGCAACTTAAAATTTTTGATATTTTTCAATTTCTACGAAATTTCTGTAACATTCAAATATTGTATAGCTTCGACAAGATATCAATCCTCCAGAACTAAATCCTAGATGCGCTACTGACCTCTGGTCGTTGGCATTCATTCCGAACAACGTTGGCACTAGTTCAAAATACGTGACATAATGAATTGGATTCTTCATGCCCCCCTTCCTCCTTCCCCGGATATCCGTCAATCACCAAGAATTGACGCTTTTGTTGAAAAAGGTGCGTGGCTGACCAGGAAATTCATGTAACAATGGAATTTGTGCACTCAGTATTGGCACGTATAAGAACCATTATTTACTCCTTTTCAAGACGTAAAGTGTGTTTTTTCGTCATTTTATGAACTACTAGTCAATAAAAACATAACCCGAAATCACTGTTCCGATGCGAGATTCGCAGGAATGGCACTCGAACGTTTTGTCATAATATGCTAGCATGGTCATGGCTACTAGATTTTAATTAGAATCGTAATGAAGTGCTCTCATATCGGTTCATATTTCAGTTTCACAGATTGAAATATATTGCTAGTATTATAGGTACTGTAAAAAATGTATACCTACACCTTGCTAGAAAAGAATCTCATCACCACGTGGCCTAGTAGCCCCTCAGCTGAAGCCTCGAGATATAATCTTGGTCCCAGGGTAATGCTAATATTATTGACTACCATGGTGTATAAATAACTATTATCATCAGCTTTTGATCTCGGAAAAAAGTCGAAAGGACAGCCCTGTTCTTTGAGTCTTCTATCGCGAACGTCGAAATTTTACCAAAGATAAAATAAACGATGGAAATCTTTCAACCTATAAAGTACTACTTCAACCCATATTCGATACAATTTTACCCACGATTTTCTTCAGAAATGTTGAAATCATGTAACTGCCTTAGCTAATGATGAAAAACTCATATAATATTATTATGTTCCCCCAGTAATCTAAACTATTTTTTTGTCCAAAAGGAACACGTTCATTTTAGTATATTATTTCGACAGAACTTGACATAAATTTGTAACGTTGTTATCAAGAACTTTTTTAACCACCCCAGATTTTCCACTATTGATATTTGCTATTCTATAAAAACAACATTTATCAACGTGGTTAGTTTTTTACATTTCCACTCAGTGGTTTAAAATAAAGCTATATTACTAATTTCTGACTTTTCAACGTCAATTTATCCTAAAAATTAATTTACTCTACAAGCACTGGGTTGAGACATTGCTACATTAGAATCAGTCCCTCTGATAGGATCCTCGTGCAAGCAATAAATGTAAGGCAGCAAGTACCTGAAATACTAGGCATTAGTTATAAATATTCTATAAATACTCTCTATACCTACTGGTATATTACAAAAACTCAACTGAGATTCACTTCTACATGTAGTAGAATAAAAGTAGCCAACTAACGTCTTTCATCTGAGGTTCTATTAATGGTATCAAAACCTCTAAAACCAATACTTTTGGAATGTGATAACATTTTCGAATTTTAAGGATGGACTTGTTGAATCCCTCTGAATTCTATTGTTTGATACTATCCTTCTAGTGAAATAGGTAATTTTTCTTAGGTTCACAAATAATTAGGTAGATATTTCATACTTTCTTGCCGTAGAATTACCTCTTGTGCAACATCTAGCATTAACAGATGAACATTTCCTTGAAATAGTGCAACATTTCTTTATTAAAAACCTTAGCCACTCCACAAATCACCAGAAAAGGCTGGTGGATATCTGCCACTATGAAAAGTGGAAAAAAACATAACAAGTTGTTAAGTTATTATCCATCTAGGCCTTAGAAAATCAGAAAATCTTCGAGTGGTTGGTTCATATAACCACTGACCTTCATATTAACCACCCGAATGACAGTTGTTAAAATAAGTTCAAATGTAAAAACTTCACAAACGAAAAGATTCCCACAAAATTGTGAAGTTTTTACATTTTTCATGGATTTCCATCAAGTAACGACCGGGTCAATTCTAAAGATGAGTTTAAATTAGTCACGTACTTTGGTTTGGTTTTTCAACGTATCTTCCAATGATCTGTGTAGTTTGCAAATGGGAATATTCCAATTTATTTTCGTAGCCTCTTTCAGGAGCTTCGTGGTAACATGCAAACTTATTATTTCTAGCCCTAGAGCATGCCCAAGAGCTTGTTGCAGATGCATCTTAAGGAGCATAAAGATGCTCCAAGAGATCGCTTCAATTATTGAAGACATCGAATATCGGAAATTGGATTCTACTGAAATTTAAACGTCTTGGAAACGATGATACTTTTGACAAATTTGCTATGTAATGTAGGAAAATAGAAATGTGTAGCCGTTAGTTATGTTGATATTGAGAACAAACCTTCACTTATTTGATATCGACAGCTATTGTGATGCTGTATTTTTTTCATTTACAGGGACCTCTACGCAACATGCCAATCTCAGATTTCCGAAAAAAGAAGCTTCTCTATGTATTCAATGTATTCTTTGGTAAGTCATACTTTCTTTCATTCAATCATTCATAAATAAGTGCAGACATTTTAAGATCATTCTGGCTGCAAAGAACCTATATCTATTTAAAAATTACAGTACTTTTATACAGAGTGATTTCAAACACAAACAGTACACGATATAAAAATCTCATCGTTATACAAAATGATGCTTTTCCTAACTGGTTATGTAAAAATGCACATTTTTTAAAAATAATTTGTTACTCTAAAAGGATGATGATATACATCGATATGGGGTGTTCACAATTATTGAACTCATTAAACCTGTTTCTCGTAAATTGACATCAGTTCTGATCTATCTATAGTTTCATAATAGATTATTTCTCATTAAAATGAATAGTTGTATTGAATAATGCCTCCTATGTATAGTTTTCTGACTTATGTGACGTAAATCGCCCCAATTTGGGAAACACCCTATAAAATTCTGAAATATTGACCGCATACAAAATCCCAGTTTTATTCGTGCAACATTTCTATAGATATTCAGGTCACCCCTCCTCCGCGTGATCTATATTAAATACGAATATAACTCTTTGTATATCTCTACTTGGCTTACCATGCAAATAAACTCCACGGAGTTCAGTTTGGAAACTTCTTGAATCGAGCTTATCGGGGATAGTTCACCCAAAATAGATTTATCTGCCGAATATAAATATTGAACTTTCTTAATATTCCCTGCGGGTAGTCAAGGGTGCGTTTGTCTTGATGCGTATCCAGAAAAGTTGTGTTTTGTGCCGAATCAGATAAAAACTTCATTCACTAGATAACTTTTCCTATTGAAATTGAACGGATGTGTATGTTTATTGAACAGTATTCCAACTTCAAGCTATCTCTACACTTTGCATTTATGAAAATGAATTGACATTTCACTGAAACTCAACTTTTTTTTTCAATTTCGAACTGTGATGATGATGCTTCAATACCTGATTGTTTGGTTTCGTTCAATGTTCTTCACTTCGCATCTATCATTTGATTCGTGTGATTTAATTGAAAGATGAATCTAATTCTCTAATTTGAATTCGCAATGAAGCATTGGTGAACAAAATGTTGAGTCGTATACTCTGATTGGGACTATGATTATTAATATTCAAAAGTCTCCATTTGAAATATTGGTTCATCATACAACAATCTTGATAGTGTCATATAGTACGGAACTGAGAACGGATTTATCCATGTTTTCTGAAGTCACGATTGTATATAAAAAGGGGAATGTATAATTTGTTTGATACCACAAAAGAAACAACTTCGCAACTTTTTGTGTCACCATTTGATTCTGTGGTAAATGATTGTACCTTCTTCATGATCTTATGGCATTGCACCAGAATCGATTATTCTATTGATGAACGTATGGTGTATTTCATTTTCATACAACGAATATAGTACAAATTGCTGTAGTAAATTTGGTAATAAAATTATACTCTGCTCGTTTGAATGGCCATAACTATAGACAGTTCAGTTATGCCAATAGGTCATATACTTCATACCCAATTCCACAATGCTGCTACGAAATGATTTCACAACTTCTGATGAACTTATGAGGAACATATTCAACACACATTTTCATCACATCGAGGTTTTTTAATGTAGTCATAAGAAACATAATTTTTTTTTCAATAGTCAAAAGTTTATAGAAATGAAATTATTCGTCGTGTTTAGTTCCTGCTGGGTTTATAGATTCAACTGAACTAAGAATTAAACTAGCAACTATGAACTTGAAAAGTTGAATACAAGGAAACATTTTCAAGGGTTTATATATTCACATCTGTCATTTAAATTAAGAATCACAAAGAAGGCCAACTTTCAACTTATTAACTAAGAATTAGGAAATTATGGAGACAGAACATGAAGATAGCATTTGTTATTGTTCAAGTGGTGTTTGGTGATATTCAATTGAATAATTTTTTGTGGATTCATGAATTGTGGAAACCAAAATCACTTTTTAACATCATTTTGATCTTTAATCAGAAGACATTTCACATCTAGTTCTTGATTATTAATTGCTGATTGTTAATTGTTAATTCCTAATTGTTAGTTTAGTTGAATCTATTAACCCAGCATTCTCATTCGTTATTGTTGTGTTGAAGTAGGTAATGAGTGTCGTTGAAATTTCACTATTTTAACTCACTTTCGTGAATATCTGAGAAGATTCAGTTATAGGTATATCAAGGAAGGTTGTTGACCGATTACTGCTGGTCTACACCGAGTGACACTTACAAATCAGTACAGAAGATGAAGCAAACTGTCATTCAGTTATTTCAATACCTGAATATGCAATATGAAAGCCGTTTTGGCCGATAACGAATTGTTTCGACACAAAAAAAAACTAAAGTTGAAAAATCTCGATTTTGAACACCCTATATCTCAGTAATCATCCTTGGGGTCTAGCCAAGTGTCATGAATCGATAAAATCAGCTTCTCAGGGAGAATCTGAAAATTCAATAAAATACAGGGTGTTCTATTTAGAATAAGGAAGTTGACAATAATTCCGGAATAACTGAAAAAGTGACAACATCGACGAGAACATTTCCACCACGTTTTGAAATCACCCTGTACATATATTCAAAAAATCTAACAAACGGTTACCGAGATATTCACCTGGTTCCATACTTTTGCCCAACCCTGTATATAAAAGTATTAATGGTTATTTAGGTCTTTAAAACGCGCGCGATTTTGAGCAGTTTTAGAGATCAGTTATCCACGAATATACTTTACCTTTTTCTTTATTGGTACAATTTGGGATCATATAAATGGAAATGACACCTAATAATGTAAAATGGTTGGGTTGGACATTTGTTAGTGATATTTGATTCGAAGTCACATGGTACTCCTGTCAGATCGATGATAAAAAAATAGAGTTTTTATCACCTTTAAAATGGTTGGGATATTAAACGAAAAAAATACGTTCCATCCTGTATAAAACATAATTACTGAACAGCCGTTCGCATATCAAAAGAAACATTAGTATGAATTAATCAAGTTGCCCGAATATCATCGATACCATGGCAACCGATTAAAAGTTACACATGAAATATATTTTTTTTATTCAAACTACGTAACGTACTGCGATAGACATCTTTTTTTATATGGATTACTAACATTATTTTGGTTCACTCTATCAGCCCTATCACACCCTGTATATTCAGGCATTACCTATATAGGTAGATGAGCTGTAAGGCAACTCTCGGATTGTTTTCCGTTAGGAATCATCATATTGCAAAATTGGTTCACAATCTTCTTTAATCTCATTAATGCTCTCACTCTCAACAATATTCATCATGATGAATCATCTAGGTATGCAAATCAGTAATAGAAAATTAAAACTATTTCGAACACTACTCAATTCTTATGTCTATAGTTAGGTATCTTAGGTGAATCATTGTTGGTGGAAAAATTCTAACTACTTCCACCATTTATTGAAAGTCCGTATTTGGTTTTAAGATACTCCATAAATTGGCGGATACACATTTTCGTTTCCACCATTTTTTCGGTCCAACTCCGGTGATAAACCGCCACGAAGTTTTTGCTGGTCAATCTGAAAAATCATACCCTACTCGTTTCTATGAACAGACACTGATTCAATAAACAATTCATAGTGTTTTTCAGGCTAATTTCTGATATTTCCGATGCAATATTGACTCACAATCTGCTCTTATCTTTTGAAAGCTATTATACTCACACTTCTGCATCGTTGATGAAATTTCATCATTGCATCCTTCATACATTTTTCAGTTAGAAGATTTGCTTATTTGAGAACGTAAATGCATTGAATATTCTGAAGAGACATCATTTTTATTATCTCAACAAAAATATGAAGATCAATATCACGTTGATGGACTGCACCTATTATTAGAATGGCACTTTGGTTTCCTACCGAATTTGAATTAATATTAGGCCAAAAATTGATGAAATGACAATGGCAAATAACATACCTTTGCATCTTTTCACACAAAAAATAATACGACGGCTATGGCCGTCGTTTCCTATAACAGTTCACACAAGAGCAATTTATTAGCCTGGCATTTTCTTTTACTTGGACACTTCACACCATTCTACCTGTAAAATCGACGGAAAATCGACGGAAGAACCCATGTTTGTGCCTTACAAGGGCAAATAATTCAAGGACGGCATAGGCCGTCGAAAATATTGAGTGTCCCAGCCAAGGGCACAGGCAACGACGGGCATATCCGTCGGTGTCCGTCAAGATGATATTATTATCGGAAGAAGCTTGTATAACTGAATTATTGAAACACTTTGTGCAATTCTTAGGAAAATACCTTCTTTCTCCAACCGGCATAGAAAGTAGCTTTTCTATGACATTCAACAGTTGGGTACTTTCACCGCCTAAGCAAAAAAAACTTTGTTGCTATGGAACGTTACAAGTAATTGGTAATAAAAATTGACACTGACATTGAGTCCATGAACACAAAATGATGGAGTTTTCGATAAAGAAATTACACAAAATTGGTTTCTTAACATTCTGAGGAAAAAATATATGTTTCACATTGCAGCAAAGTAGATTGACTGCCCTGGCTGAATTCCTAAATATCAGTCGAGGCAGTCAATGAACTACTTTGCTGCCTAGTAAAATAGCTAGTATGCTAACATGCTCTTTGAATCTTTGAATTGGTAATCACAATTTTCTGCGCTATGTTCATTATTTGGGATGTTTTTTCCTCGTGGTGTTTAATGTATTTCGTATTAAAATAATGAGAGCTTCGTATCTCAATTTCCTTGAGCATATCGGTTAGTAATTCAGCGGAATGGGGTGCCATTTTGTGCCGATATGACTTCGACCTCAATAAAGTTCAGCCATTTGCATAGAAATGGCGTTCGATGCGTTTCATCTTAATTAGCTCTCTGCTGGCTTGGAAAAATTCTCGTTCTAGGAAATAGAAAAGGCTATGAAAGTGCATCTTCGATTAATAATGTGGAAACTAACCAGATGCTCTTTTGTGGAATATACACATACAGGGTTTCCCAGAATAACGTTCGAATACTTCAAGCGGTAATTCTACTTATAAAAATGAGAAAAAAAATCCCATCAACAAGTGTCCAAAAATGCTTTCTAATTGCCCTCTGAAGATAGGTCTTTATAAAAATTCCTAACCGATGCTATCAAAATGCCCCAATTTTTTCTTACGATTTCTCTCATTTTCATTGTCCAGTTTTCGATGCTTTTGCGTGATATCTCAGTTTTCTCTCGAGATAGAACCTTGCGGTTTGCGCGGTCCTGTGCCATTTTTTTGTGAAACTCAAGATGGCCTAATCAGATTTTGCATAACTGTTTCCGTTTATGAGATACAGGGCAATTTTGAAAATTTATACTTTTTGGACCCCCTCTATATCTTAGAAGTTTCCCAGCAAAAATATCAAATTGAAATCTCATCCCATGTGGAATTTCACGCAGAATCCAGTGGCGCACTCAACATTTTTTGTCGGGGTATGGTCTTGGGGGTACGACTCAAATTTATGATTTTTTAAATGGTATTTCATGATCTCATGAAATTCCCCATTTTTTTCTCTTCAAAATTATATATAATGTATGGATATAAAATCTTCAAAAATGCTCTACAATCACTAAAACATTGAATTTCAATAGTGGGCTATGGATTTTTCTTATAAGAAAGTTCCAATTGAAGGAATATTTATTTTGATTTTTCCAAGAAGAAGACAAAAACAATTCCAACATTAATTCACTAAGGAAACACAGAAATTAGGTACCGGATAGCAACAAATGAATAGTAATAATAAGTTCACAATTAAGAATAAGCACCACATTAATATTTACAGAAACAATTGAATTTCGGAATTATTCAATAACTTATTCATTGAATTGTTCAAATCAATGTCCATTTTCCATAACACACAATTGACACAATTTTTCCAGAAACTACAAAGACTTCCTTCAATGATTTTGAATGCACGTATTGAGAGAGTGTGTGAGGAGAAACTTGAACAATTCAATGAATGAGTTACTGATTAATTTCGAAATTCAATTGTCTCAGTGAATATTCAATCACGTGCCTATTCTAGATCGTGAACTTTTTATTACTATTTATTTGTTGCTACCAGGTATCTATTTTTTATGTTTTCTTAGTTAACTAGTGTTGGGATTGTTTTTTCTCCTCTTCATGGAAAAATCAATATTTAAATATTCCTTCAATTGGAACTTTTTTAAAAGAAAAATCAATAGCCCACTATTAAAATTCAATGTTTTACTGATTCTGAAGCATTTTTGAAAATTTCATATATATACAGGGTGTTCCATTTGAAAAATCATAAGTATGAGTCGTATCTCCAGAACCATACCCCGAAACAAAAATATGATTGCGCCACTGGATTCTGCGCAAAATTCTGTATGGGATGAGATTTCGATTCGATATTTTTGCTGAAAAATTTCGTATCACGAAATCGTTGCAATTTCGGACTGAGGTAAGTTGCTTTAAATCGGCTAACTTCGACCTCAGGAATATGGGCTAAGATTTTGTACAGCTTTTTCAGGGATACCTTGTATAGGTATGTGAACTACCGGACTTTAACTAGGCTACTAGCTACAACTTCGGTGTTTCTATTGGAACTTCCTGTGTTTAATGTCATAATCAGCATCAACGTCCTATCTCACTTGAAAAGTCCTCAAGCACCTCTGGAAATTAATGTTAAAAAATCTGTGAACTTCTTGTTTGTCTTACATGTAACTTTGGTTTTGTTTACTTTTCAGACGTGAATCAAAGTGGAACCATCGATAGGAAAGACTTTGAACTTGCGATAGAGGTAAGTCAACTTCAAAATTAATTTGGTTAGGTAAATCTCGGAATCATGTACCTGGCCAAATAATGTAATAAGTAAATATTATTAAATGAGTTTTCTTTCATTGAGTTGTTTGTGGTGAAATCCGATTCGTTCTATACAGGATGTTCGTTTTTCGAGCTCCACCATGAGGATCTCAGTTATTATAAGAGATACGAGGTAGGATGTATTAGGACAAAGAAGCGCATTTTCATGCTGAACATTTATCTGTAAGAAAATTTGATTTGTCATTTTCAGTTTTTGAATTATTGAAAGAAAACGAAAATTTCTAATTTTCGTTCCTATTTTTTCAAGCGGAAACAAAATAACCTACACGTTTATGACTGGTACATTCTTGAGACACTTTTTTACAAGGAATCTGAATCTGTCATTGTATTCTTCATGACGTTCTTGATGCCAAAGTTACAACACTCAACTTTATTTTTTCTTATGGGCGCCATATTGCATTCTAGATCCCCATGGTGGAGCTCGAAAAACGGGCACCCTGTATACAGGCTGACTGACAAAAAAACGCCCCGAACCATAGCGCCGCTATTTATCATCCGATTTTGAAAAACAAAGAAGCAAAATGACTCATGAGATACTTTATGAGGTGGCACTAACAATTCATTTTTCCTATTCCAACTATATATTGTCAATTTTTTTTTTCTCAAATGGCATTGTTTTTTTTTCTGATAGAATTTTTTCATTCAACCGACTTCGCAACCCCAGATAACCAAGTATGTCAGCAATAGTGCCGACTTTAGTTTGAAAACCCAGTATATACACATTGTCTTCCATACAGTAGAATTTTTGTTCCTTTCGATCATTAATTGAACTATTCTTCAACAGCATAAATAATATAGGTACTAATATCAGAAGTAGGAAAAATTGATATTTGTTTTAGCTGGTAGAGTTAGCTAAACTTGAATATTTCAATACGTTCCGATGATATGAATAATTCAATATTCCGATAATGATTCTTTGCATTGGCAACTAGGTTAATGTCTCCACAATTCAAATTCTATATAGGTACGTGCAATATTACAGTGGATGGCAAGCAAGTATATGCTGATCGAATCTTCTCCATTTGATATTTCTGAAATACCGAGAGTTTGCTGAAGAGATCAGACACGTACAAGGTGCTTTTATCAAATTCATCTTTATCTGAAATATACATCAGTATACAGGCTGATTCACGGTGAATGACACATTAGACGTTTCTAGTAGGATCATACTGAAAATTTGGTTCCTTGGATAATTAGTTGTGTTCTATCGACCTAAAATATTCTCAACACTGTAACATTACTGCTTATTAAAAAGTAGCAACAACTTTGATTTTTTCAATGGGACACCCTGTATATCATTTCGTTTTCAGATTCTCCCTGAAGAGCTGATTTCATCGATCTATCACACTTGGGGTCTGCCGGGAATGATAATAAAGATATTGGGTGTGAAAATCGAGAGTTTTCAACTTTAAGAATTTTTTGTGTCGAAACTATTCGTCAAAAATCTCAATTCTGAACCACCCTGTATTCATTTCAATTAGATATCAATTGATAGTATGTGAAAAGATAAGATGAGGACATGAAAACCGTTTCGACCAATTATGAATAGTTTATACACAAAAAATTCCTAATGTTGAAAAATTTTAGAACAATTTTTTTAGAACAGGGTAACGTCGCAATGCTGAGAATATTTTAGGTCGATAGAACACAACTAATTATTCAAGGCATCAACTTTCCAGAATAATCCTGAGTTGTGTTCTCCAGAAACGTCTAATATGTCAACCATCCACCGTGAATCAGCCTGTATTTATGATGTTTCAGTAAATTTCGAAGTTGAATTATTTGTGTCAAAATAAGCTAACAATCATTTGTCAGATACAGAATGTTCAAGTTTCTCTAAAAAAATGATCTATTGTTGATTTTTTTATGATGCCTAGGCCCATGGCAATAAAATTCACAAAGTTTGTTCAAAATCTTGATGAGATTTGAGATATTCATTGGAGCTATTATACTGCTGAAATTTCACGAGCAGTGGTCTGACCATGGGGCTAGTCCATTAGTTTTTTCACAAAAAAATAGCACCTAGTAGATTTTCTCGTGTGTATATCGTAAATATGTATAAGAAAGTTACAAACATAAGAGAAAATACATCATTCGGTTAAAAATACAGTTCAAAATCGGTTGAAACATTTTTCCGAAATTGATAAAAAATCGTTTTTCTTCGAGGAAATTCAACACCTCGTATCAGAAACAAATCGTTTTAGGGCATAATGTTTATGAGAACATTCATCTTATTTTGACCCAAAGAAACTGGTTTCGAAACACCCTGTATATCAGTAAGGATGACGTGTCCAGAAATTGTTTGCAAACCCCTCGTATAGCATAAATATTAAATAATCTATTCCACTCAATAATACACTAGGTACATATATACATACCTCCCCATCAACGATGCATCAGGCCTGTTAGTTTGTATTGCTGAAGTTGATATTGTTCCATAGTTTTCTTTGTTCATGGCATGATGTAAACGGAGAAAGTCATATAAAAAAACAGACCTATCAGCGGCCAGATTTTAGGGGCGGCCAAACGAAAAATTCCCTGATGATAACAAGAAATAAGTAAAACTACCAAAATATAAAAAAACTGAAATTTCTACTGTCGACACGCCGAGTCCAGTTATGTTTGTGAATCGAAAATTTCAGAAACTTTTTGATAATAATTGGTAGGTACACTGTCAGGAGAACTCAAGAAACGATGGGATGCTTATAAATTACTTCATAATAACTATAATTTTATTTCAAATATAAGTTCACCAGAAGTCCAAGAAAAGGCCAAAGCATAACAATAATTGGTCGAATCTACTGACTTATAGATATCAATTTTTCAGAATGATATTTTCATTTTCGTGCTCACTGCAGTATAAAATAATGAAGACCTGTAGTTGAATAAAATAAACCTAAAACCAATTCAAAAGTTTTATTCAAATGTGCAATTACTTATATCTCTGAAACCTCCAGTCACTATACTTACCTCAATTTCTGAATTGTTGTCGTTAAAAGTTTAAAAAACTATTAGACGAATAAGCACTTAGTGGTAAGGTGAACTAGAGCCACTAGATGATGAACAAACAATCGACAATTGACAATCATGTCAATCCTGTATATTGAATCGAATTTCCGATCCTCAAAGAATTTGCATATCACCAAAATTGTAAGAGGCCTCTCAACCCGGAGACTTTACTAGGTGTCTTTGTTCAGCAAATTTCATAGTCAAGTAGGTATAGATTTCGCTGAATTTTCATGTAACGACTCAAAAAACTGAAACTCCAAATTGGGGACGGCAAGGAATGGTATATATCGATTACTTGGCGAGAGGCTTTCCAACTATCTGATCTTTGAAATGGTAATTCATATAATGTAAAAGGAGGATTGAGAGATGAATGAACGATGTAAATGTGAATTCAACATTATTGAAATAGGGTGGCAGAAAAGATCTACTGAAGTTACAATTCAGAAATGAATAATAATTGGTTGTAGTGCGTGATGAAGGTTGGGTAAAAATTGAAAGTGAACTTTTGAAGTTTCAAGAGCGTCTTTTCTTTTGTGAAGAAGTTCCAAGAATAGTTTTCGATTTTCTATCTATATAACACTATTCTTGATAAATATCCATTATTCTGATCAATAGACTTTGTTGCTGAGTTGATAGTCATATTATTGATGAAGAAAAATATGGAAAATGTAATCACCGTTATTAGAAGAGAGGGCATGTAACAGAATTTTGAAAAATTTAGTTTTCCTTTAATTGAAATGTGGTGATTTTCTGTTCCCCCTTCAAGCAGGGTAAATAGAAATAGTGATTGTTTTAGCACGTTATTCGCTTGTGAACCATCTCAGAGGTGAATTGAAACAAGTTCATTCTATAATTTTATTTGTGGACAGCTCAAAATGTGAAAAAATAAGAAATATAACATGAAAATTGGGTGAAAATAGAAACAGCTGGTCAGTAGAAACAACAAGCAAATATACACACAAGAAAGAGACGTTAGTTATTTAAAAAACTACTTGATATATTAGAATTTTGAGTGCAATTATGTTAATGAGATATATTAAGGTATGTCTGGACTAATTTTTTATATTATACCTTGATTTTTTATAAGATCTATTCAACAATGCACATCAGGTGTCATGATCATATATTATGTTCGACTAAAATAACGAAAAATCAGGAGAATTCGATGAATTCATTGTTGTCACATATTCAATGCGTAAACTAAGATAGGATTTGGAGTTTATAGAATTAAATTTGATAAATTTGTGATTTTTCTCAACAAATGGTCCATACTTGTTTCAATTTGGCACCAAGTTTATATTCACCTCGTTTCACGGTAGGTACTGATTTATGTATATGACCGAAGAATATGTTTGTGTATTTAATAACAAAGCTACTAATGGCTATAAGGGCACGCCATCCCGAATACCCTGTGTACAAAGCATTTCAATCAAGGTCGTCGATTAGTTTTGTATCTAATTCTAATATACAGGGTGTCCCAAAATTGCTGGGACACAGAGCTACCACGTGTAATACAGGTCAAAATAAGTCGATTGGATCCAATTTATTTATATAACAAAATGAACCGTTTGTCCATGAGACCAGTTCAAAGTTTACATAGAAAAAACACATTTTTGTTCGCTTTTCAAAAATGAGAGGAACAAATTGGATGAAATTTGACAAAAGTTTGTTTTAGAGGATAACCCTTCTTTCAGTGATAAAAAAAAACCCGAAAGGTTTTTTTTTTTTTGAAGGATTGAAATCACCCTTACCTCTTGACATTTTTTTCAAAACATTCCTAGGTGTGGTAATGGGATTCTCAATTTTTTTAATTGAAATTGATAGTATATGATTTGTATACAGGGTCTTCAGGATGCCGTATCCTTAGCCATCGGTAGCATTGTTATTAAATACACAAACATTCTCAGGTCATTTATACATCAATTAGTATAGTAAAACGGGGTGAATAGAAACTTTGGGGCGAATAGAAACCAGTATGAAGCATTTGTACATACACCCGGTATGTATTATTATTCATGACTCTCTACAAAACAAGATTATTTTTCATAACCTAAACCATTACCCCCCTTGACGCCCTTGATTCCAATATAGTACTTCACTCAAACGAGTTAAGCTTGTTTCATAGCTAGAGAAGAAAAAATTTGTTTAGCTATTCTAGAGTGTAATCTGTATAAAGAATAAATGATTGGGCTTAACGCTTGGTAGCATTCACATCAATTCTCTAAAATATATTGGCATGCACCATGGCAGAATGTATGCTGCTTGAACGAGCATTTGGCACCCTCATATACCTTCTCAATATTAATGTCTTTATTTCGACCTGATGTTACATGATGAATAATGCAACTTCAAAAGATCTGACGTTATTGCTTAGTGAACCGAAGAGACACTTCCATGATAAGAATACATTGTTCATTTTATTTTTACTGAGCGTGTTTCGTTCCAGAGAAAATTTCATCAAGATTTCTATAGGAATCTTCATCGTCAAAAATTGTACTTACTACGAAGGCTAACTGTTCTGACTTCCGACTTCATTTCATTTCCACATTTTGTCAAGTCTGTAATATTACTTCCTGTGTTTATGTTTTCAGAAAATCTGTTCACTTCGAGGCTGGCCTTCTGGAAGTCCACAATATACGAAAACATTCGATAGTATGATCACAATATGGGAGGGATTGAAAAAGAGAGCTGACTCGAATAAAGATGGCCAGGTGAGAAGAGGAAGCTATTTACTATTTGAAAGAAACATTCAACCTTCGTCATTATTTGTGGAACCTAACCTAATTATCATCTTCATCAATTGAGAAACTATAATGGTTTTTAAAGTATACCAAATGAGCATTTTCTTCAACTATTCCTTTTCTCTACATAGGCTTAATGAATTATGTTTACTTGCTTTCGGATATTTTGAACATGTTATTGAAATGTCTGATATCTCAAAATACTTATTTAGGTTAGTGTGGAAGAATGGGCCTCAATGTGGGACGAATACGCCAAAAACCCAGACAACGCCCTAGAGTGGCAGACGCAGTATTTGCGCTTCATGTTCGAATTAGAAGACGCAAGCGGAGATGGCACTATCGACGTTGACGAATTCACCAGCGTCTGTTCCTGCTACGGACTCGACGTGGCTGAATGCAGGCTGGCCTACCAAAGAATGGCTGAGGTGAGTATTGTATCACTACGTGTGCATACTTGGCGAGGAAGCCACCTTTAGGCGAGCGTAAGGCCAGCTATGATAGCACACGTGCCTTGCTGCACTGTCATTGGTCCGACCAGGGGCACCTGTTGATATTTGCGTCGACGAGTAGATATGTCGAGAAAACGTCCTTCAGGAGAGAGTAAGGCCAGCTGAATGATAGCGCGTGCCTTTGTGTATTGTTATTGGTCGGACCAGTGGCACCTTTATTGTTTGAAGAGTACATGTTTCTTTTCGTTTTCAGGGTAAACAAGAGGTCACTTATGATCAGTTCGTCGCTCTTTGGAAGCAGTTCTTCACATCTGAAAACCCATCTGATCCTGGCAACTTCATCTTCGGCAAAACCAAATTTTAATTTGAATATTCTTGCGTTAACCACTAATGTGTTATGACATCAATTTCAAATGTTTATCTTACTCCTATATCTACCTTCTTTTCAATGAGTATACATAATTCAATATATATCATTTATGCAGAATTCAATACGTTTTGAATAGATACAGAAAGTTATATAACCTCTCATTTTGAGACATATCCAAAAGCATGTGAGGATGAAATTATACAGAATGATGCAGCCGTTGTTTCCAAGAAGATAATAATGTGCTTTATATTAATACTCAGATATACTTATTAGTCAATTATATGTATACATATACCTACTTGAACATTTCCATGAATCGATAAAAACACTATTACTATAGTGAATTGTTCCAAAAATTGAACCTTGATGTCTTTTATCAGAATGAAGAATACATTTTTAGGTATCTACCTACATGTTGCTAAAGATATCTATAGGTGTATATGATATACATGCGTTAGAAATTATCTAGATATGATATGTAGGTGGAACTATATGGTAATTGGATGACAAACCTAATAATATGGGGATGCGACTAAAGGTGAATCAAGGAAAAATTTAAGGAGCACATTCTAAACATTCGACTTTCTCCCTTCATTAATTATTGTTCCTGGAAATATTATAATAATTATTAGTGTTCCGTATATTCTGGTGTGTTTATCTTTATGGAGTTTTTGGATGTTAATCTTTCTCAAATGAGTACGACCTATTTTACAGATTAACATAAAGTAAAGAATAATATATATAATATATTATTAAAGTACCCAGTCGTATTTTGGTGGGAAAAATACTATCACATTTGTTGCATAAGTGTTTCAAATTCGATCCTCATCATTGGGATCTCGGAAACTATAAGAGATACGAAAATGACTAAATAGGGGTAAAGTTGCGTTTTCACATAACAAACATTATGACGTTTAGAAAGTTTCGAAAGTATAGCCGGAGAAATATTCGAAAATGACCAAAGTTCTGGAAAATTGGTCTTATTTTGTTCTGGCTTCATTTATTGTAGGATTTCATAATGGACAGCACTTGTGCATTGCCATTTTTTCTCTACTACATGGTGGTGCTTTCAGATTTTCTAACTGACGTTTCGTCTCCCGACCACCATCTTTATCTTCATTTTTTCCTAATATGTGCTCCAAATTGGATTTTATCTGTTTTGAATCGAACTTGTTATTTTCTTTTCATCATCATTCTTCCAGGTAAAATCAGAGATATTTGAGAAACAAATTATAATAAAAGATTTTGAATTTGATGTTTCAATTTCAATTTGTCACACTTGATGAAATTCGGTTATTTTGTATGTCACTGTATTTTTGGCGGAAATGGCTTTCGTATATCTTATAGTTTCCGAGATCCCAATGGTGAATATCGAATTTAAAACACCCAGTATATTATTGAGCATAGGTACCGTGCTTTCATCAGAAAACCCTACAGACACAAAGTAATCAGTCGCACTCGTGTTCGGAGTCTGGACTACACCTACAAGCTGTACGGGCAGGAATTCAATACTATCCGAAATGTGCCACCATGCCATAAGGATGCAATGTTACAAATAATCCGTGTGGTGAAATTGTTCTTCCTGTATAAATCTTTTGTACATAAGTTCGCAAGAGACATGATGGTCAGTGGGTAGCTACTTGATATGGCGATGGTCCCGGGATCGAATCCCGTACTCCACCTTCTTTTTTTCTTTATTTCGAAGTTATTAATTGATAAAAATACTGTGGAGCCTATGGAGGCATTAACTGTTGGGGCTCTGTCTCGCTCGCTCGCTCACTCCCTCCAATCAAATAACGATATCTCACGAGTTATGTCCTATGTACGGTCTATACATGAAAGCACGGTATATACATGTATCCTTTATTTCCTCTTGTTTTAATAATTTAATAAAAATACCTACATATTATATATATTTGAATTATACCTAACAGAGTTATCAACAAAGACATATTTCTAAATATAATGATATGATATATATGGTATTAAGGACAATATTTGTATTCAGCTGGTATAACTTTTAAGAACTTGTATTTATTTATCTACTCATTATAACTTTTTCTGATATGTTTCATATATTAGAGTCTTATTTTTCATAAAGGAACAATCGTATATTTGCTTAAGGTTTCTGGAAAGTAATGTATTTTAGTGAATTATGCAGATACAAATGCACATCACTGGTGGACGTTTATTTGTTATATATGTGAATATAATATGTGTATGAAAGGTGGAAGTGAAAAATATGTCAATAAAGGGTATATCTGAATTTACGATTATTTTATTCATCATCCATCAAGATTAACTGATATACAACGTGATTTTTAAATACGAACAAACATTGATCAGACTTTCATTAAACACTATGACATTTTCCTATGAAATACCTAATCTCCTTCGAATCATTCAAATCAACTTATTTCTCTTCATAAGACCGTGCAACGTCTCTCCAATCATGGTAGGAAACTTCGAAATTTTGACTCCCACGCTTTCAAAGGCCTCGATCTTATCCTGAGCCCGACCCTTTCCTCCCATGATTATGGCCCCTGCGTGCCCCATCCTGCGGCCTGGGGGCGCGCTTAACCCCGTGATGTATGCAACCACCGGTTTGGCCTTACTGCCAACGTTGTACTGGGACAGAAATTCAGCTGCATCTTCTTCTGCATGGCCTCCAATCTCACCTGAAAATCGAAAAAAATGACTATTTGCCACTTTTGCCAGTAAATGTTTTCATGACATGTGAATTATTCAACTTTTCCGGGGAAGCCATAGTGGATGACAGAAGCGGACTCAAAAGGGGTGGATCGGGTGGATCTATACAGATTAGGACTTTCTGGGGCTGCAGCCCGCCAGGACCCCGTGAATATACAAACGGTCCCTCCTCCCTCCTCCATTCAAGATATATTCTCAGAATTTCGAGATTTTTAAAAATACATATCTTATTCATTGTGGCAACAATAGGCCGTCGTTGGTCGAAGATAATATATAGCAACTTTCACTTACTTTTACCAGTTTTTACTTATTACAATTTACTTATTGGAACAAAAAATTTGCCGGATAGTCCTAGTCTCATAGTAAATTCTGCGTTCTCGAATAATAAGAAGAAGAATGATTGTTGTTCTGTTCTCTGCTGTACAGTTAGTTTATTGTTTCTGTTTTTAATGTTCCATGACCATATTCATTCAAAATTTTCAACAACCGAAATTCATGATGAAATTGATGAAGATGAATAGATCTAGAAATTGAGATCTTTAGTGAAAAGCTCTCACCTATTAGTGCAATTGCTTTTGTGTTATCATCTCTCAAAAATACATCCAAGCAGTCAATGAAACTGGTTCCATTGAAAGGATCTCCTCCAATTCCTACACAAAGAGATTGTCCCAAACCGAATTTCGTAGTCTGGTCAACAGCTTCGTAAGTTAAGGTTCCAGATCTTGAAACAATTCCAACACTTCCTGTGACATATAATTAGATAAATAGGGAAGACAGACCTTATTAATTGGTGGTGAGTATCCTTCTAGTGATGATATGATTTCTATTATTTGATCCTATACCTTTTTTGTGTATTGGTGGAGGCATAATACCAATCCTGCATTGATCAGAAGCTATCACTCCAGGACAATTTGGGCCAACCAATCTTGACTTCTCTTGCTGAAGTAAAGCATGCCTGACTTTTAGCATGTCATGAATTGGAATGCCCTCAGTAATGCATACTATAAGAGGTATTTCTGCATCAATGGCATCAAATATAGCCTGAAATACTTTCATATATCACTATCAATAATACTATTTCTCTGGAAATGAAAAATGAGTTGCAGTTTTCTGACCTTAGCTGCACTAGGTGGTGGTACAAAAATGATTGTAGCTTGTGGATCCAATAATTTTTTGGCTTCTGCTACAGAACTCAAGATGGGCAAATCCAAATGCTTCTGTCCACCTTTTTTGGGGTTCACTCCACCTACTATGTTTGTACCATATCCTAAGGAAGCTTTGCTGTGTAAAGTTCCTTGCTTCCCAGTAAATCCCTGAACTATAACCTTTGTGCTCTTGTTGATCATGATATTTTTTCTAGTGTTGTCATAAGAAGATACATATCTTTGAATTCTTCTGAATGTTTGTGGAACCTCTTGGATGAGAAATTTGTTAAACATCCTGACAGTTCACAGTTTATACCTCTGTTTATATTGACATCAGTATTTATCTGACAGTAATCAATCAGTGATACAAAGTGATAACAAAATATCATGATTTTTTTATCTTACATCTGCTACTTTCCAACATTTGTTTCCACCAAAAGTTCTTATCTTACTGGTATAGGTAATTATGATCAATCAATCAATCATTTTTCATTGAATAAGTTTTTTTTTACAATAAAAATGAGAAAAAAATCATAACATCATTCTAAAATACTAATTCAACAGGTCATACAATGAAAAATTAAACAATACTTAGATAGATCAGTACATTTATTTCTCAAAATCAATAATATACAATATTATTCATCATTTCACATAATTGAATAACAGTTTCTTCAGATTCTTTAGCATGAAGCATCAAGAACTCAATCAAGAAAGTTAGTGTGCTATGCAAAATTTCAAGTTATTGGTAGCATAGGTAGTGATTCTGAGTTGTGGGAAATGTATTCATTTGAATTATAGTTTAGTAAATATGATCATTTTTTATGAAAATTTTTTCCTACTTTGTTTTAAATCGCATGTTGTTCAAATATTTCATTCTGGGAGGTAAGTGGTTATAAATCATATAGTTCCTGTGAACATAATGGACCATTTCTTGATCTGTTGTAATTGTTCACAATATTATTTAATATTAACACTAATCATCATCAACTTGGAAAAAAAAATTGACTGGGTATAAAACAATATCAAACATTGAAATATCATAAGAATAATCTGATAACTAATAAACCCAGTATTATTTGCATTGCCTTTTGAATGATCATGAATTTCATAGATGAATCTATGAACTACACCACTCCACTTTGAGTTCCCATGGAGTTCTTCCAAAGATTGATCATGAATTCGTTCAATTTTGGGCATAAAAAATTATTCCTGATATACAGGGTGTCCCCAAAAGTCATGTATCAAAAGAAGTGATGTGGTACTTGGTAGGGGGGTCATTTGCAATAGACATGGAACATCAACTTGTCTGAAAGTACATGTTCCATGCAATAAAGTAGTTCATCTAGCATTGAGAGAGAAAAAAAATGTCTCCAACATAAAATAATGGAAATTTTATGTTGGCGACTCTGGAAATGAGAAGAAATGGAGGAGAAGACCATTCTAACATTTTTTATATTGAGGTTAATATGAACTTCTTCTCCATTTTTTCATCGATTTTTTCCCATTTCCAATGTTACCAACAAAAAAGTTCCATTACTTCACATTGGAACACTGAAGACAAGGACAGATGGGGTCGATGGGGACAACATTTTTTTTCTGGATGCTATCTGAACTGCTCTGTCAAATTCAACTTCATTGGTTCCAAAATAAACAGTTTCACAGCAAGGGTTTGGTTATCAATTATATGTTTGGCACTAATGTGTATATATATATAAAGAGCAGAGCATTACAACTATACCTAAAATATTATTACATAATCTATATAGTAACTAAAGAATGAGTTATTGAAGTCTTAAGCATAATCTGCCATGATGAAAAAATAATGCATTGCCAAAAAATATTTGTAGTGACCTGGACTTATTCCTTCAAAATGAGGATCATAGCTTAAGCACATTCCAAATATAGTGAGCAATCGTATATGTGGTTATCAAATCAACTGGACATTGTTAAAATATCATAATCTATGAATAATGGCCTACAATGATCTCTGGATGATGCACCTGTCATCATTCTTATTTCTTTTTTCTGCACAATAAATACTTCAAGAGATTTGGCAGATAAAACCCATTGGTCAAGACTATGATAGATTGAATCAAGCTGTGATATAGAAGTTTGAGAACATCAAGAGAAACTGTTTATCTACAGTGACGAGAAAGATATATATGTTTACTCAGCTTATTATCAATATTGACCCCCAAAAATCTTGTATAATTAACTTAATGATGAATTGTCTCATTCTTCATTTTGACCAAATAGCTCTTATCTATTGTTGTATTTTTTGTGGCAAAGTTTAGCAGTTGAGATTTGGCAGTACTCAGCAACCAGCCATTTAGAGAACACCACTCAGAAATTTAAGTTGTAATTTCTCGTGCTCTATCAACACCTCCAACATCTTACCTGCAGATACCATAACATTGGTATCATTAGCAAAAATAAAAGTTATTGAAGCTTTATAACTGAAACAAGCCATGTAATTCTGAAAACAACTTTATTGAATTATAAATTATTATATAGCCCAGGTACATACATTCTTAAGTTTATAACATACAGTCACAGTAAAATATAAAAAAGTTAAATTAACTCAAAAGATTCCAGAACAAGATTAACCTTACTATAAGATCTCTTGGAAATTAAATAAAATTCAATGTCCACATTGAAAGTCTCATGTAGTGTGAACAATATAAGAAAATGGTACTGATATATAATATATATATAAATGACCTACTTCCTAAAATTAGTTAAAAAGAACTTTTTGCAGGATAGTAATATTGATAAAAATCAATAGTAGATAACTGTAATACCTTCACGTCAATTTCTGATTTTGCTTAAACAACTGCCTACTAAACTGCAAAACAACAACATAAATGTCTACAATCTACTTCCTAAGCAACATTATTTTAAACAGATTATCTCTAAAATTATCGACCATTTTCTGTAGTTCCTCTACTTGAGCTTTAAGCTTGATGTTCCTAGACCTAAGTTCGTCTGCTTCCTTCTCCAGTTCCAATTCCTTGATTTTCCTTTTCTGTCTGGACTTCCTTGAAGCCTCATTATTCTTGTCCCGGAGTTCCCGGTATTTCGAACCTTCCCCTTCTCTCGAGCCCTCCGACGTCACCGAATTGGTTCTCTTCGGAGGCCTGCCTCTAGGTCTGCTATAGTAAAAACACCAATTTTTAGAAAAAATACTATGACATTCATCATGAGACAATTTTTTTTTTGAATTCTGTATTCCTTCTAGATTCCCCAGAATAAATTCCCAAAGGTCAGCGGTTTGAGCGGTACTGACGTCACAAGTTCTATAACGCGCCGAGTGAGATAAACAGCGTTATTGTCAGATGGACTTGAACAATAGTCCATTGTTAAAGGACCCTGCACCATGTATCTCGTCTAAATGTTGTGAAAATCTAGGATTAGATAGGTTAAATCATGCTGATCAAGAAATGTTTCTTGGTCCAAGGCCAAGATAAACTCTACTAAAGCAAAAGAAATTCTAGAGGAGCTTTGTACCTATAGCTTATGAATGTATGTGTGAGTGTAAGAATTGTTAACCACATCAAATCTGAATTCTGTTGAATGTTCCCGTGTACCATTTACTGGTTTTAGTTCAATTTGGAAGTTTGAAGACTTCATCATCGGCGATTTTTAGTGTAGTTTTGTGAGTTCAAGTAACACTCTATGAGACGGTTTTTGCAAGTTGTTCTATTTCAGCAAATAGGGCCGCGGGCGTATTGACTCGTTAGGCCTCAAAGGACCACGACCGAGGTGCCGAGTGTCACTTTTAGGTCCAGTGTTGGGTACCCATACATTCATAACCTGTAGGTACAAAGCCACTTTAGAATTTATTTTGTTCTGGTAGAGGTTATCTAGTTCTGCTTCAAGAGCTCATAACTTTTTTCAATGGGTATAACGGGCCATGGACCAAAGGACTTTCTTGTTCAGCATGATTTAATCTATCTAATACTGTATTTTCACAACATTTCACCGTAAACAAGATTTCAACGTGAATATTGCAGGGTCCTTTATCGACCTAATTTGTACGTATGTCCCAATAGTGGTCCATATATCTATCTTCCTGGATTAACCTGAACATTATTTGTTTTATATTACCTTGTATTTATTCACTTCAATTTCATATTACTGAGGCATTTCGAGAATCAATTTTGTGCGATATTCACGGTGAGGAAGCTAATGTTTAGTGAAACAATTGTGTGCAGAAGTGAATTTGTGAAAAGTATTACCAAGGTGAGTGTCTTTCTCATTGCTATAGCTATAATGAATTTTCATCAAGTAAAAACCGATGCAATTGAATATTCGGATTCACGCATGTGTGTTCTTACCTATTACTGAAAACACTTTCACTGTTTGAATCAGAATCTGAGTCTTCCTGCAGTACTTTCACAGATCTGCGGTGGTGTGTACTGAATTTTTTTGTTGGCGGTGTGTACTCTTCATCGTCGTCGTCGACCTGTTTCCTCCTTTTTCTTGGTTGTTTTGCGGGGATTTCGCGAGCCGAGCATTTAGAGAGGAATTTTGCTGAGGGTGTTTTGGCAGAAGGGAGGAAAGCTGGGGAGGTTCGGAAAATGTCGTCACTTGTGACCACAGAGATGTTGTCCTGAAATAAAAGAATTGTCTTAAATGTTTTAATGTTTATGAATTCCTACAAGATTTTGGAATAGAATAATGCAAGTTTGAGACTGGTTTCGAAATATCTGAATGATGATGATACCACAAAACAAAAAAGTGTTGTGTTTCTATAAGTCATATACAGTATGTATACAGGCTGACTGACGAAAAACGCCAGAAGTCATAGCGCCGCTCATTTTTTTTTAAATTTCAACAGTGACAGCAACTGTCAACTTCATTTTTTCAAATGGCACCAATTTTTTTTTAATACAATGATGTATGACAAGTTGACCCCAGGACAACATTAGTTGAAATAAGAAATAAATACAAAAGATATATAATTATAACACTGAATTTTATCATGTAATGTCACTGAAATGAATGTCAGTATTCCAATTATCAGATATTCCTACACATCAGTGATTTTGAAGTGTGCTGTGAAGAAAATTAAAATGTTCAAACTTGCAGGTCAGTATGTTAAGGCAAATAACAGATTGTTATGAAATTATGCAAATGTAATTGGAAGTGATAATATGAAGGGTGTGCCAATAAAAACTCATAAAATAATGATATGAAGACATGCCAATAGGATTTCAAAACATGTTTAACCTCCTCAACTAAACTTGTCTCCAGCTCTGTTTATCCACTTTAAAGATTTGATTTTCAAGGAACGTATTTTGGTAGTATTATTTGGTGTTAGCTACGTGAATTATTGAAATTAATCAAAATTCATCAATTTGGGGTGTAATACAGTATCAAGTTTAATAGCCACTTTGTTTTTAACTAATAAAAGATGCTCACTTCATTGATCAAACTGAGAATATTGAAATTTGCATCCTCCAGATCCACCACTTCTTCAATGATATTGGGAGTACTTATGGGTTCCTTCATGGGCGCTTTGAGGCCCATGTCCAGCGACAGCTTCCTCCCCTTCTCGCTGGAACAGCCAGAGCTGTTACTGTCTTCGGGGGTGTCTAGCCCTTGAACAACGTAACCGACCCCCTCCGGCGACAAAGAGTAGGAATTAACACTAAGAGCACTATCGTTCACACTGTCTGTAACTGTAGTTTCGTTATAAATGTATGTACCATTATCTGACGCAGGGGAATATACTTCTGCGCCCCCTAGATTATCGATATTTCCTATTTCACTAGTGATATTATCATCCCTCGGCACTTCTGTGCCGTAGAAAATGTCTTTGTGTTTTTCTGACGGAGATGCGTATGTGTTCCGATATGCGGCGTCTCGTTCAACCTTCACTGTTGAGTGGGGTTGAATCCTTGTCTGGTAGTTGAATAGGCCGAAGTCGAAACCATCCTTATCTGCAAAAAAAACACGTATCAATTGCCCGCGATAATTGATCAAGAAGTGATCAGCTGCAATGCCTAACCATGTACTAATAAGAAATCAAGTTTACAAGGAATTTTATACACAGTATACCTTGTGTTTGTGGAAAATATCATACAGGTGAAACGAAGATGTATATATAATATGAAGAATAGACAATGATCGCTGTAAAATCAAACCGGCGTATATGCAGAATTACTATTTTTCATCAGGGCGTTTTGATGTTTTCCTACTGGATTGTATTCAATATCTACTATTTTTTTCCCAGAACTACCTTTTTCGTGCAAAAATTTGACTTTGGTTTTGCTTGTGGAACAAAAAATATCAGATATGTCGATATTACATTAAATATGGGTATAATTTGCTGGATTATGAGAGAGAGAGTATTATTGTGGGATAATTCGGTTTTACTTAAATGCTGCAGCAGTTTCCACCACGTGAACTCAGGCTCGACTGACGCATGGAGAAACACACCTGTTCAGTTGCTCACTGCTTATAAAGATACTGAATCCCGCCAAAATTCAAACATATTATGCCGGTTTGACTTACTCAAAGAGAAGAAAGAATCGATTTTTTGGTTCAATAACTCAAAAATGTAATTTCTGCAGATATATGCCGTTTGATTTTACAGCGTGGAAGTATCTATAGAAAAGTGAAAGGTCGCCGACTTTTAAACGGTGTTCTAATCTGTCAAAGAGTTGATGAGTGTGGCATCACCCAACAGGCGAATGACTCTCTCCCTACATACATGCATACATAAGAACAATGGAATGACATTAAAATCATAGGAAACGTGGATAACAAAAGAGAAGAATCAAGGCCGCTTGCATGCTTCTGATCGGAGACAATAGCATTGCTTCCTGTTCAGTGGATATAGCTCGGGATATAGATAGAAGATTCACTTCTAAAATATAAAAATGGTAAGTTCAAGATTCTCGATTTTTCTTTTAGGCTCACTAATGGAGGAAATTTTAAATGCAGTGACATATTGGGACAAATCACTTGATTTGTTTATCAATTGATCAATTATTATTACTTAGTTTTTCAGGTACCCTCGAACGATAGTGAATGAAGGTATGTGTTCACTTACATTCAAATGTTGGTGTTGTTAGTTCATCTGCAGGATTTGTAAACATTGGTCTTGGCAGGAGGAACGATGATATATCTCCAAATTCCTCCATTTCCAGTTTGATGGACTCGTAAAACCCACGACCGCTTGTCGCGGAACAGTGTTGTTGAGTAACGTTGAATTCGCCCTAGAATATGGAAAAAATATTTCAAAATCAAATTCTAGGAAGTTTCATCCAATTTACAATTATATTCTAATGTTTGAATACGATTTTCAAGAATTTTTTCAGAAATGTAGAAGGAAGAAAGGTGTATTTCGGAGCTGGGCGGCGTTCACTTTTTTTTAATCCCAGGCCTACTAGATCACGTTCAGAGGCTGAAGAATCCAGAATCATATCAGCGATTTTTTTTTTAAATCCGCGTACGCCATGGAATCGACGTCCTCTGAAATAGATATGTACCAAGTTTCATGATAAAATATTCAACATTAACGATTCTACAGTGTGTCTCATTTCAAACGGCTCCTCCTCAATATCTCAGCTATTAATAATAATAATAATAACTTCATTAAAAATTGGCAAATGGGTGATTTGTTGGACAAAAAAAATTCAATTTCAATTTTTCAAAAGGCGAAGTTTACGATGCTCCGTGAGGGGCTCCTGTTCTTCCACTTAAACCTTGACTTAAACCTAAACGTACAGAGAAGATGAGAGAGATGACGTGTGTGTGAGAGAGAGGGAGAGAGAGAAAGAGACGACAGAAGGGCAGAGTACCAATAGGGGAGGTGATGTCCTTGTTTGAGGTAGTTAATCAAATTCCATTAGCCGTGCGATTCGTACCAATTTTAAACTAGTATGAATAGCCATCAATATGATTAGATTTTCGACGAACATCAAGGCGCGAGTTTTATGAAATCATATAAGGAACCTTTTTTGCAAGAAATACTAACTTCATATTATTGTTCCTCATGCTTTCGAACCTCCAACAGAATTTGCTTAATTTCAATTGTGAATTCAAATCAACTGCAAAATTTGGGATGTTCAATGGCTCCGGTAGGTAGGCAATCGTGATTTGAAAGAAAAAACAAGAAATACTATTTTATAATAATTATTACGTTCGCAAAAACCTTCTCAGGTGGGCCTGTTTTTTTGAGACCCTCCATGGGAATCATATAAAAATTTAGTTATGGCTGTTTGAAACCAGGAAGAACACTATTATGAGGTCAGTTTTCCTGTAAAAAATCCTAATATAATTTCATGAAAAATTGACCCCTTTTCATTTTGATATAAAAACGCACGGCACTGTCCAATAGGATGTTTCTCTTCGAAAAACTGATCATATTAATGGCACATGACTAACAGCTGATATTTAAAGGGGGGCCATTTGAAATGAGACCCGATGTTGAATATTATTTCATAAAACTTGGAACTGATCCATTTCAGAGGACGCCGATTCCAGTGATGTACAGATTTTTTCTAAAAATATCACTATCATGGATTCTGGATTTTTCAGTCCCTGAATGAGATCTGATGATAGATCCCCCTGTATATTTGAAAAAAATCGTGAGAATCGCTCCATGAATAAAAAATGTATGAGGGTGACGGCCCGCATTCAAATGGGTCACTCTGTAGGTACACGGATATTGGTCTCATTCACTAAAATAATATTCAACATTATTGTAGAATATAAAAAACAACTACATTTCTGGCAAATATCTGTTTTTTTATATGATAGACCCATTATAGTTGCCTCTGGAAAATGTAAAATTCAATGTAGGTGATCATGAATAAGAATACTTATGTCAGACATAGATATTATTAGACTAAACATATTATAATATTGGAGCATCAATAAAATTATAAAAATATGTAGATTTGCCTGATCATCAAAGTATCAATAATTGGTAAATCATGGAATGAAGTTATGAGTAAGAACAAAAGGAGACCTAATTTTCTATTTTCAATCCCATGATGTGTTCCAAATATTCTTCCAAAGTTCCCATGAAAAGAAACACTTAAATATAATTCTGAAGAAAAAATATGTACATCTTTCATCTGCCCCACTTTCCAGTACTCAGGTATAGCTTCTGCGGGATCTTGTAGATTCAGTTCACCATACATGACACAGCACAAAACTGGCGAGATTAGTCACAATCAACTCTTATATAAAGTTCAATCACACTGGACAAGTTTACTCAAGTCTAGCTAACGAATATCTGTCACTCAGACGAAATGCTTTTCTTTTTAGATGGTATCGTTTGGCGACTTCGATTTTTGAAGATATTGAGGATTTTTGAATGGTCTCAAATGAAAAGGGAAATACATGGGTATCTACCAACAAAAATAAAATTATAGTTACGATTGTTCAGTTGTTTTTTCAACTTTTTGACTGACTCAACATATACGTGAAAGTTCAGTCTGGGTTGGAAATTGATGATTTTTTAAAATATTATTATTTCTAAAGTGTGTGTGGTTTGAGGTTCGGATGTATTTATTTTAAACAAATGTGATTTTGATGGGAGTGATGGCTGAATCGTGCTTTAATTGAATTTTATTGTTTTCAACAAGAAAATTAATGGATGCATCTTGGAAGATTAAAAAAAATATATATGAAAAAAAATCGATGTTATTGTTGATAAAAAAAATATATAATGATTGGAAATTGGTGAATAAAATTCATGATTACAGTTTCAGGTGAGAAAGAGGAATTTCAACATTATGAATATGTTGAGTCATTGAGTGATTTTAGCAATAATGAATTCATTCATTGATGGAATTGAATAAAGATTGATGTTTTGTATCAAGCAATGGAAAATCCTTCAATATCATGAAAAACTTGCAAAATGTTGCACCTCATTCATGAACCAGTCATACCCTGACAGTTGAACTTCGACATTTTTTTGTATATTCCATGTTCAATAATAGTTATTTGTTTTACTAGGCAGAAAATCACAAGATTTAATGCCGCGGCTGGCGTTTCATAGCCAAGGTGTAGCCGATGCTAGGAAGCCAGCCAAGGCATTAAATCTGCTTTTCTGCCGTGTGGAAATTTGTTCTCCAAATTCGTCCAATTTGACGCAAACTCCAAATAATCCATCATTTTGTGTTCACCCAACGTCAGTGTCAATTTTGATTACCAATTCGAGTCGAATTATTACCTTGAACGTTGCATAGCAACAGACTTTTTCTGCCTAGGCAGTTAAAGTACACCTTTTCTGTCTGTTGAGTGTCATTAAAAATCCCCTTTTAATGTCATTTGGGGAAAATAGTTATTTGTTCAACTAGGCAGCAAAGTAGTAGTACGCTCGGCTAAGGCAGTCAATATACTTTGCTGCCGAGTTGAACATATAATTTTTTCTCCGATTGTTCATAATGATATAGGAGGATATTGTATTTGCAAATTATTACAATTCCCACAATCTCTTTATTTTTCCTGCAGTGTTAAATTAAAATAAAATTTTATAGAAATCGCAGTTGTTGGAATGGTTGGTTGCTATGGAAATGTCCATAATAATTATAGTTTGACAATTCATGAAATTTCTGACAGTTGTGCGAAAAAATATCGGTATATTTAAATTATTATATAATAGACAGTGATAGCGACCTGGGAGTACTTACTCCTCCAGTGATAAGGGAGGTGAAAAATATACAGTTGAATTTGTTGCCGGAGAAGTCTCGGATGAAATATGAAGGCATAATCAATGTTCACGTCAAATGTTTTATTCCCATTGAGTAAAATCATTTTGCAGCCTAGGCAGGAAAAGTAATACTTTGCTGATTGATATGTCAGCAAAATTAATGTTTGCTGCCAATCGGAGAAAAAGTTCATTTTTATCTTATTTCAAATCATATATCTCTCAATTATTTCTCAATTGATACCGACCTTTTGGGGTGCAATGAATACGTCTTCTGACAGCAGAGGTGAACTTTCTGGGATGGGGTTCACTTCGTAAGGATTGACACACAGATACGCTTCGCCGTCGGTATCCACTTCCATCAACTGTCGGTTTTCCATAGACAATTCTTCGGCGTTGATTAGGTCCGGTCTTATTAGCGGAGAGCGATGTTTCTCGGTAGGATCCGCAGAGGGCGGTTGCTTCAATTGGGGCGGCCATATTGACAGGGACTAGGGGGAGAAAAGATGGGAGAATTAAGCGTGTTCTCTGATGATGAAAATGTTACCCGATGACTGTGGCGAATGTGTTTGTATTCAAAATGAACAGGAATTTTCTTTCATCGTATTAAATTATAAAAGATGATCATGATAACATTCTTGGATCCAAAAATTCATCATCACCAGAAATGGTGATAAAAACAGAATTTGTCTTTCCTTCAAGGCTTCTATTGAGGAAAATTATGCAAGATATATTGTGAATATGGCATCAATAAAACTAGATTTAATAAATTTGAAATTCCTGTTCTCTTGATTTTTAAGCACTAAAGATGCAATTGTAAAATATGTGTACCAAAACTGTAATAATAGTACTGTCTTATCTTTGGATATCCTATGAAATATGTGTTAGTGGAAGATATTTTAAAAATTGTAAGAATTACTATTTAGTGTTATGAAATCAGAATTTCCAAAACTTCCACATCTGAATACACCTGTGAAAATTATATTTTTTGCATTTCCTGTATAAATTATTCATTTATAAATCGAATTCCTACGTCATCACCGTTCCAGATCAGATGCAGAAAACATTAAATGATTTATACATGAAATACAAAACTGACTGTATTTTACTTTGCCGCTTTTGTGCTTATGATATACTTATGATACATATCTCTTGTATAAAGTGAATATGTTTTTATATAATTTCCTGCTTTTTATCATAGCGATATATTTGGTGTGAAGCCGAGTACATTTATCAAAATTCTCGAACGATTTTTGAAATAATTATTATGATATATTTTTTTTTAAATTTGAAATCACTTTATACAATGAAGTACTTATAATATGGTTAACAATATAATAAACTATTTGTATAGTTTAATATAGTATACCGTCATTTCCATCAACATTCTTCTTTTCCTAAAATGTAAAAATAAGAAATAAACCATTAGTAAAAAAATAGGAAGAACAATGAAAAATGATATGTGTATATCAGAGAAGCTCATAGTTATTATAAAAAATCTATAAACCTGTAGGCTATCATTTCCTATATAGATTGTTTTTATATCCTTTCACCTTAGATAATCCCTTTTATCTTTTCTTAACATTTTTGAATGAATATTGATGAATGAAATTCGGCTCCCTCCCAAAGTATTGTTTATTCCTCATTCATCGCATTATTTGTTAGTTTTCAATGGAAAAACACAGGCGCAACATTTTTTCATCTTGATTTTTCTGAAATTTGGAAACTGTGTTTTTCCAATGTGGACTCATCCGTACAATCACACTTTAGCGATGAAATTACCATTGCATGATAATACGACATTTCAATGGGATTTGATGGAAAATTTCAAGAAAAAAAAATACTCGATAATTTCATCAGGTACAACCTCTCCATTGCCACAGACCATTTCCCCTCGTTTTTCTGACTAGTTGGCCATAGAGTGGTAAAATTGGTTGAATGGCCATTCTGAGGTTTTGAGATTTTTCAAGTCGCCCCCTTGGTCCCAGTCTAAAAATCGTTGGTATGTAGGAAAACGGATTTGTTCAAATTTTGTCACACGTAAGACGATCACAGGAAATTCTCGAAAATTCGGCTGATATATTGCTGGTCCTCGCGATGTCAAAAATTCGATCGAATTTTCTCTACCCCGGTGCAAAATATCAACCTTCATTTTCATTGCTATATTATCGAAAAATACAAATGAAATAACAAGGAAGGCAAAATTCTTCGAATTGTTTTTTCACACTTACATTAAATTCGCCTTGTCCTCTTCTGAAAATGTTGACTCCCTGTGGGACTTCAGCAGATGGAGAGTCGAGAGTATTCAACACTCAACCTGGAAAAGAAAAATTCTTTACTAAATCGAGCCAACTGGGCATAACTAACTAAATTTAGGAATGAAAGGTTATAAATCGATTGATTTGAAAACATAAAATGTATCCAAATAGGGTTTTTCCCTTCCACTTCTATGAAGTTTTCTATAGGTAATTTGTGACTACAAATTTTCAAATAATGCGAGTTAGGGGTAGTAAGGGCGGATGCATGTTAACATGGAGGGTTTTCTTGTTCTGACTGATTTTTTTTTTCAAGATACTGACCCTTAAAACCACAATGATTATTTCGATGAAGTACGGACATTCCGTTCAATAAGAAATTAATGGTGGGCTTACAAAATGTCAGGGGAATACCAACATACTTTCACCTGACCACACATCACTTTCTACTGGTCCAAAGCAATGATGAACTGAATAGAATATTCTCGATAAAATTTATAAAAATTTCGACATTTCCTAATATGAACGAGAACGATCAAATTGACGTTAGCGTAGGTACACTCTCTATCCATTTAGAGATAATTATTCATAGATTACTGTACAAAGTTCAAATGAAAAACAGGATTTCTGATTATTGATAAAGTTATGTAAGTATATGTATATGTTTGTATGATTAATTCATGTCTTCATAATCTATATAATATCCAATTATTGTTAAATAATCATGTTTTGATTGATTAGGCTTAGTTTCTTCCTTTCCCTAAATATAATACATCCTGAACTCTTTTTGAAGATAAAGCACCACGAGAATCACCCACGAATTATTTGTGCTCTATATCGGGACATTTTGGACCTATTAATCAGAACAGATTTTGCCCAATTTCTAAAACCGTTATCTGCATGTTTCAACAAGTCATGTATGGTCACGGCAAGCAACGCTCATGAAAAAGTATGCCACATCAGCTAATATCAAGGTCAAACTACTAGGTCAAAGCACTTCCACTTTAAAGAAAGCTACTGCCTTCTTGATTTTGTTCATTGACAATTAAACCGTAGGTAGGTATTCCCTATTCCACACATATTGAACTCAACTATACCTACCTAGTGGATAAATTGGTAAAATAATGTAACAGAAATTGACAATCAACATTATCAACAATACCTATAGCATTGTATGAAGACTCTAGCACCTACGTATAGGTATCTCGATTCTTGTTGGTGATAAAATCATGATGAACATTCTGGTATTAAGTATGTATTCTAGATGATACTGAGTTGTTGAATAAATATTGCTTTATCAATTTCAATTGTACTGATAACAGTGATAATGCTGTTTGTGGAAAATAAATAATTGCGAACAATAGGTAGGTACTCGGGTACGTAGATATGTTAAATTCACAAAATGGGTGCAAAAATATGTATGTATAAGTGCAATATATATATGTTATGTATTGCATAAGAAACATTCGATTACGTAATACCGACTTGGGATTCCCATTGACAAGTTGAAACATGTCATTAAATAAAAATTAATACTACCTATCTCAAGTTAAACAACTCACACTTGATAATATCGCGCTAGATACAATGCTATAGGTAGAATCTAATAAAAATTCATGAGGATGTTGAGGTGCTATAGGTACTCATCAATAGATATCCAATTCCCAATATGTGTCGCTATCTTAACTTCAAATTAAACCATAGATATCAATCCAATACCTAGGTATTTTCCAAATGCTGAAGCTAATAGAAAAAACATCGATGCACACGTAGGTACCTACCAAGTCACACCCACTGAGCTGAGATTAGATTCGAATTAAATAATGAAAGTTTCTTACTCTGTATATTCTTTGTATCACACTTTTTCTAGGCTGTAGCGATTCAGACACTATTGAAACAAATATAAGTGCTGAATCCGTTGAAAACGTGGTATTCGTTACGCTTTTGACGCTGCAGAAAATAAACTGTATCGACTAGATTCTGGCCAATATGGCGCACGCCCTTCAAAGTCAACTATCGTCGCGGTTCTGAAATCTGAGTTCTGTTCTGACGATGACGATAATGTCGATAATGGACTGGACGCCAACAAAGAGAGCCAGAAGATAATACTTCCGTCCTCGTCTTACTCACTATGACCTTGGCTTCACTCCGCCCAGTCAAAGATTAACAAACCTTTGGTATCACTGGCACAACCAATCAGGCGATTTCGATGTCACAAGACTTGGAGCCGGTTCGTGAGTCATGAACGTTCCACTCGTTCCAATCGACAAGGAAATTTGTGGAAACATATTATTTTCGTCTTTTGTGCCTTCGTGGTACAGTCTGAATAAAAAGCAGCGCGGAGAACCACATTATTATTAAGGTTCATTTATTGATCATTGACAATGGCTGCTACTTGTGATCATAGTTGTGATTTTCTGATCATACCTATATCTTTTATCTTCTGTAGAATGGTGATAGCTATGTACTTATGTCCCAGAACGCACAATTTCATTCGTAGAACGTTCGTAGAATATTCTTCGAGAATATTTTAATATTCTCACAATATGATAAAAATATTCTATACAGTGTGGTTATTTAAGTGTGCAACATATGGGAATCTTTTTAATAAATTGCACAACCAAACTATACAGATATAGGGCCAAAAGTTGGTGCATGATCGGTAATCATTTTAGGTGCACTTAGAATGGTTGCAAGTCACATAGCATAGAGGGTAGGTCAAAAAATATTGAAATTGCTCAAGAGTAAAGTACCCTTATTTCAGGTAATTCAGCAAAATTTCATTGAGAAAAGTTGTTTACAATTGAAAGTTATGCCTAGATACCAAAACGTGGCCTCCGAAGACATTTTTTAGTTTTTCAATTTTGTAGATGTTAGTTTATATTAATGTATCATGTCATCATGGATATATATAGATATACCTGACCTAGTAATTGATTGTTCTTGAGAATAACTTTCTTGTCGAACTGTACATTCCGAGAATACATCCATCCATATAGTTAAAGATAGGTATTTATATTGGAATTTTAAACCAATATACCTTACCCAGATAGGCGCCTCTCTTATAGTCTCTTACATTTTACATTCACGATATTCACTTCAGTTCGTCTGATGATGTGAAAGTTTTTAACAAATTATCGTCTATCTAAATTAGGTAATATCACAGGGAATGTGGTAATATATATAGGTATACCTACTTATTTTCTCCCAAAGTAACCAACGTACGAATATTCGGAATGTTCCATAAAAAACACATGAAAATTGGTAAAATATTTCCAAAATCAATCACAAAATATCACGCACCGCGCGGCGTCAGGAGGTTTGAAGTTTCCTTTGAAGTGAGACCAGGTGCAATAAGACAATAATTGGATTTTGGGTGAGAGTCCGAACAAACAAAATGACTAAACATGTATATATACCTACTTTTGTGCTAAATTCTCTACCCTTTTTATTTTCTTCGATACCTATTGAAATACTAAATACCCAGCAAACCCAGTTACATCACAGAGATATATCAGCGATGTAACAATAATTGTGACCTGTGATATCGCATTCTATGTCGCATAGAGCGATGTCAGAGGAATGTTTTTTTGACCCACTCAAGTTTCATCCTTGCAACGTAATTTCGATAACTTCTCTGCGATATAAGAGCCACATATTTTATGCAATGTAATTGCGTTATGTTATTTGTGATGGAAAAGCGATGTGTTTTTGCGATGAAACTACGATGTGATGCGAGATGACATCGCATTAAATCGAAAAAAGTTTCCTCAAACATTTTGTGACCACTACATAACTGACTTCTGATGACATCTGATAATGATTGTGTTGTTGTGACTGATGGTCGGTGGTACGGATGCCCCTCTGGTTTTCTCTCCATGCAATCATCTTTTCAGCGGTGCTATCCTTGGTACCTACGAATCTCTGTCAGAATGAGATCTATTACTCGTATGTGTACCAAAAATTATATGTAGTGTGTGTCGGTGAGATGTAAGCAAACCAAGAATAGTTTGATAGCAATGTAACTAATGTTTGCGAATTTTGCTTCAATTTATTGAGTAACGTATAATCATGTATTCATTTTCACCGAACAAGAATCTAAATAACACGTTTTTGAAAAATTCTCGCATAATGAGTTTGCTTCTTAGATATGTCAAGTCGCAAACGTGTTTGCTTCTGTACATCGCAGCAATGGAACATTCGTATATGTATATGATATCCCAGTGTTGTCTCATCGCTACATCTCAGAGATGTCATGTCGCAGATGTATTTGCTTCTGTATATCGCAGAGATGTAACATTCATAATATGTGTTGGCTGGGTACCTATATATATGAGTTGTTGATCGATGCTAATTTAAATAAGTACAACGTAGGAATAATATAGGTTCCTATATTCAGCATAAAATTGAACTATATGAAAACTGTAACAAGAATAAACAATATTTTCCTGAAGAAATCAATAATTTGTGGCCTGAAAACACTGATCATCTGTAGTCAGGTATTTTCTTCTTTTTAGTTATACTCACTTCTACTGAGGATGGCAACTTTCAGATGCCAAAATACGTATTTATGCTTTTTTACGTGATTTCGGTATTTTGGGTATCTTACTTTTGAATTTAATCACTCAACCATATCGTGGTGTCCAAAACTTTTTTTTGACACCAATAATGAATAAAAATTATACAGGGTGTTACAATTTCCTGGTTAAGCATGGGGATCTCGGTAACCTCAAGAGATATACAGAGTAGGTTGAATTAGGGCACTACTTCATGCTCAACAAAATGCTGCTTTGAAATTGGAAAAATTTCAATTATTTCCGGAGATATCCGAAAACAAAATGGAAAATATGCAAAATCGTTTTTATTTTATTACTCAGTTTATTTGAAGAGATATTTCAAAATGAACGTCACTCCAACATTGCCACTTTTCGTCCTCGACGAAATGATATTGGAAAATTGGAAATCCGACCCCAGTTGACCAAAACATGTCGCAGCTTTATCCCTGCTGCATTTCAAATGTTCCATGTTTCATCACAGAGATGTTCCCATCAGAGATATAGCATAGATGAATGTCCGCCTCAAATGAAATCACAGACTTATATCAGTGATGCAACATCAGACTTGAATCAGATATGCTCCTGTGAGATCACAGTGATGACTATGTATCTACATAGCTCTCTCCATGAGCTTGCCAGAGACGTTTCTGATAAATCTGTGCTCTGCATTAGCTCCATCCCAAATCATCCATAAATTTATACTGGTTCCACCAGTATTTGAATCAGTTTCGAATGCAACACCATAATGTTTAGGATATATTCTTGGATTTTCAGATGTTGAAATCAAAAAATCCATGAATATACCCCTAAACACATGGAGTGGCATTCAAAACAGTGAAACAAAAGGAGTAAAAATGTAAACTTTATTCCAATCCAATGACAAATTACTAAACAAACCTCAAAATATATGTGAAATAAAAATATGAAATAGAATATACAGGGCGTTCCCAGTTATCATGATGATCACAGCATGGTTTTCTTCCATAACTCCTTCATTTATTTCCTTTTTACCTGCAGATTCCATCTCTTGGAAGTGATGCATAGAAAAGTTATCATTCATTTTCATGGGAGATCATTGTTTTGTTTTTACTGTTCTCTCCAACCATTTTTCCATCAAAATCGAGATCAAAATTTTTAGTTGAGCTGACTACAACTAGAATAAATGATATTTCAGTGCAAATAAAAATATACAAAACAAGTGTTCACCTGTCATTATTGCGAAAACTCTCAGATTGGCCTAACCAGCTGGTCTTCGCTACACGGGAATCAAAACCTGGTCTCTTCAGTATATTTTTGTACCTAGTATGCTTTCTGAAATCAAAATTGATGATTTTCCTCTCTTGATGTCCAGCTGGAATAAAAATTCAATTTCAAACTACAAACTAGTAGCATACCTATATTAATAATAAAAATATGACACAAAACACAAGATACATTTACAAATATTGTCACTAAAATTGCAGAGTTGAATTTCCTTGTTGGATACAAAGAATCTCAAGTACTTAAAAACTGAAAAATAGCCTCAAACCTAGCTAGAATAAAGAACCAAAACATTATCATCTATTTGCAGATATCTATTTCATGTAGTCAATGATTTATGAATGATTATTCAATGATTATAAGTTTAATTGGTATACAATTGAAATGAATTCCACCTAGACATGATGGTGTGCAAACTGCAAGGGTAGGCAAAACATATCTAAAACTTACTTACCTTGGTAGGTACTGACACCGTATAGAAGTATATGATGGTACTGATGACTACATCAGCAGAGGGCTTCGAATCACACAAGTGGCTTACTTGGAATGAAATTCATTTCAATGTCCCAATGAAACAATAAGAGTCATCTTGGTGATTTTGGTGAATGGCAGATCATTGTTGTTCTGGTCATTTAGTGAAATAACAAACACATTAGTTTTGTTTTGTAAACAACGAGGTATCCTTTTGTGCTGCTAATTTCGTTTCGTTACCGAATTTCTTGAAAATCCACGAAAAAGTGAGGTTAGGAAAGCCCAGTAAACACAAAGCACATTTTTCGTCTTCGTGATTGTTAAACCACATTAACCACAACCACAGTGAATTTCACGTACTCAAATGATCACTATTAAACTGAGATTAAACCTACAATACAAGCAAGAATTATATTTTGGATACAATTTGCATCAGTTCAATTTCAGAACGTTGTGGAATGTGATGCCACAAATTTCTTTAATTGATCTATATTGTGATGACGCCTGGGATGCCTCAATTTCATCACGTTGATAGAACGTGTGATGAAACAAAGTTCTTTGATTGATCTCCTTTGTGATGACGCCTGAGATGCCTAAATTTTATCACGTTGATAGAACGTGTGATGAAACAAAGTTCTTCAATTGATCTGCTTTGTGATGACGCCTGGGATGCCTCAATTTTATCACGTTGATAGAACGTGTGATGAAACAAAGTTCTTTAATTGATCTCCTTTGTGATGACGCCTGAGATGCCTCAATTTTATCACGTTGATAGAACGTGTGATGAAACAAAGTTCTTTAATTGATCTGCTTTGTGATGACGCCTGGGATGCCTCAATTTTATCACGTTGATAGAACGTGTGATGAAACAAAGTTCTTCGATTGATCTCTTGTGTGATGACGCTTAGGGTGTCTCAATTTTATCACATTGATAGAACGTGTGATGAAACACTGATTTGTAGCAGTAGCATGTTATATTTTAGATGCAAGTTGCATATGTTTCAGAACGGTGTGATGAAACGAAGTTCTTTGACTGATCTCTCTTGTGATAGAGCTGAGACATGTGTGGTTAACTGGGACGTTTCTTCTTCGAAACTTATTTTTCTAAATACGGACGAAAAGTGGTAACGATGAAGTGACTTCAACTTTTGAAATATCTCTTCAGATAAAATGGGTAATAATGTAATAAATAAAACTCTATCTTATTTTTTTCCGGATATCTTCGGAAATGATTGAAATTTTTCCAATTTCAAAGAAGCATTTTGTTGAGCATGAAATGGTGCAACTTTGCCCTAATTTAACCTACTCGGTATCTCTAATAAGGTTACCGAGATCCCCATGCTTAGCCACGAATTTGTAACACCCTGTATGATTTATATCCTTTAAAATAAATTAGTTTTTCTCAATAAGTATTCAGGCACATTTAAGAAGAAAATAATGGTTTATAATAGGTGTATTGAATAGAATAACTTGCTACTTACATCCCCATAGTACCTCTTTTTGTAATCCTGCACTTTCTTTTAATCACCAAACACAACAATCCGCAAATACACGTTTGAAAAATTCTTGGAGTATATGATAATGATAATTGAATGTCACATTTGCTGTAACACATAGTAGGTAGATATCCTTTTTATGTCGACTGATCCTAATTTTTTACAGTTCCTTTATAGGTAAGTAAACCGTAACTGTATAACCGTATACTGGCGTATATCTAATATTATGTTGGATGATGCAATAACTCAAATCCCGGCTGTTCCGGACAACAGTGAATAGATGAAAATGTAAAAAGGCAAAAGAAATTTGAGTAGGATACCTCCAGAACCACTCAATAAAATCGAGAAAAAATAGTGACTTAACAAAATTACTTTTTTTAATGGCAAATTCGAAATTTGGTTCTAACCGTCTAGGATAGAGAGCGATTGACCGAGATATAATGATCCTTGCCCGATTGCTTCCTAACAAAAAGATGTGATGACTTGCTGGCAGATTTTGCGCCTTTTGATATCACCTGATATATGTGTTACTGCCAGTGGCGTAGGTTGAACTATAGATAATTCCCACTAGAATCGGTTATTGAGTTCAGTGTCACAACTTAAGCTGCAAAAAATCCAGAGACTCGCCTGTCTTACTGCAGCAATGGAAGCTATGCTTGACCTACTACCCTTGCATATTTTTATCAAGAGGACTGCAGCTCTCAGTGCATACAGACTGAACTCCACTGAATTGGCCAGACCTGCAGGTGATGTCATACTGGTCACATGGTCATTCTACAAGAATTACAAATGGAATCTGCAACTAAACCATCGGACATAATGCCAGCCAGGTTCAGTTTCGATCATACCTTTGAAGTGGTTATAAAAAGCCGCCCTAGGTAGGGTTCCGCGTTCCGCTGAGCCTCAGCTGGACAGAGGGTCCCTTGTTTGGTACACCGATGGTTCGAAAATGGAAGAAGTGGTAGGCGCGGGTGTATATGGACCCGGATGTAGGCTATTTGAAGCCTTAGGTCACTCCCCCACTATCTTCCAAGCTGAAATACATGCCATCAACCTTTGCGCCCAAAGGTGCCTGAGCAAAGGTCTGAGGGGTGCCAACACATATATCTGCTCAGACAGCCAAGCCGCACTAAAAGACCTAAAATTATTCGTTTTCACATCAAAGATTACATGGGACTGCTTTGAAACACTCATGCAACTGGGAAAGGGCAACAAAGTCACACTTATGTGGGTTCCAGGGCATGAGAAGGAATCAAAGGAAATGAGGCAGCGGATCGCCTTGCAAAAAAAGGTGCAGCATCTGCACTTTTTGGTCCTCAGCCTTTTTGTGGGATAAGCAAATGTCACCTGAAGGGAGAACTCAGGAAATGGGAAGAAATTGAAAAGTTCTACTGGAGAGCAACTCCAGGTTAACGGCAAGCAAAAAAGTTTAACAACCATTCGCAGAACCGATCCAAAGAGCTACTCAGCCTCAGCAAACCAGAGCTAAAGCTTATCACAGTCTTTCTCGCAGGACACGGCCTTCTGAGGTACCACCTCAAGAAGATGGGCCTGGTGGAGACTGACACTTGCCGCTTTTGTAATAATGCGACCGAAACCGCGGAACACATACTTTGCTCATGTGAAGTATTAGTCCGCCAAAGGCTGAACCACCTAGAACAGGTCTATCTCACCCCTGCTGAAGTGGAAAATTCAACCGTCAGGAAAATCGTAGGCTTCATCAGAAGTCTATATAGGGTCAGAGGACCAAAACTAGATAGGGGTAATCATAATAGATCTATTAGGTCGCAGTTATCCAGAGGTCTCCCAGCCTATACGACCCATCTACAATCTACAATCTGAGTTCAGTGTACAGTGTGAAAGTACATTTCATTTCCAAATAGTTTTCAATCTCTGGTAGAAGTCCATGTTTGCTCAAAGTGGAGTGTAATTTTTTAAAAGGAAGAAGGAAAGCTCAGTCATCTCCACTACATTAATGGGACATGTATGTACAATAATAATTGTGATTCAGTTGTTCATTGCTCATGACCAATGATAGTTATTTATTTTACAAGGGAAAAAAGTAGTAGATATTAGCTCCAGGTTGTGTTGCCCCCGTGGAAAAAAAGTGATTTATGAAAAGTGACATTTTATATAACCTGTCAACAGAGATGAGATTTCAAACTTTTTTCTCATCACAGAAAACATGGAAATAAAACATCAATGTGATAGTTATCATATATATTTATTATATAATCACCTGAATTTATGATAAATCTACAAAACATGGAATATATCTCATTATAAACTCTTGTATGTCTGTAAAAATTAGAATATAACAATTTTATTCTTCTAAGTACACATAAATAATTACTAAAAACTGTGGCTGTCATGAAAAATAATACATATTATATAAAAAGAATTTCATATTTTACAATATACAAATGAAAATACTGATTAGACAGTAATAATGCTAATTCCAGAATACTGAAGATATTCATCATTCAAAAAATACAATATAAAAAAAATGTAAATGGAATGTGTGAATTTGGAAGTAAAAATTATAATAAATGTCTTTTGTGACTCAAGTAAATATTCTTCATATATTCTTTCAATTTGGTTCTTCAGAATCATTCCAAATACCATTAGTATATTAGGAACATTGTTGGGCCCTTGCAATATATTCAAAATATTTACTGGAATCGAATTGCAGTTGACAGTTTTTTTTTAACAAGCTATATTTATGTTCATATGCTATTGATTTATTCAAAAGTTCAAATTTCCTATTCTATGTTTTGTCAAAAATTTTCTAGAATATTTCCTACTTTGTTATATGCCGTAGAGTATATATTTATAATATTGTTTATCTAACATTTCCATGTTAACTTGTCATTGTCATAATTTAAATTTCATCAACACTGAAATAAAATTGCTGCTGAATAATTGACAAAATATGTTCCATCAAAAATTAAAAGTTGCCTAAAATTGAGATTATCGTATTCTAATGTTTGATATTGTCACATAAACTAATTGTAACCAGGTTGAAATAAAATTAGAATATTTTTGATGTCGGTCACTTGATTATTTAGAATTTGATAATTTCTTATTTAGAATGCATTGGAATGAATTTAAGTTTCTTAGGCCATTGCTGAATGGAGAAATAAAAAAACAAATAAAAAGCAATTGTATTTCTTGAGTTCTAGAACAGTCAGAGTAAAGATAGATTACTTATGAGATGAACAACAAAATTGATCGAATAATAGAACAACTACTAGACTAATGATTGCATTTTTATTCCCCAAATTGAATTTTCGGTACGTTCAACTTTTGGATTCAACAAACTAATATTCACTTTTGCACACTGCTCAGAAGGAATCTTATCCATTTCCTCAAAGAATTTTTATCAGCAATTTGTAGGTTTTATAATAAAATTAGTAATTTTAGTAGTCAAATGAAAAAACGAATAATTAGTTCTTTCTGCAGAAATTGAGAATTGAATAAATATTCTCCAATTCCAAATATGATTTTCAACAAAATCTGATACAGATCAGTTACATTTCAGTATTATGCATTTCTCAACTCCAATAATATTTCTTCAGAATTACAAATTTTTCATAATTGTCATTTTGTTGTGTGATTGATGAATCTCTGAGGTGATGTAGGAAAATGAAGAAATTTGTATGAAACTAGATTAATCTATTCCCTTGGATAATATAATCCAAGCTTGTTGATAGGTTTCTGAATTATTTTTAATTGGCCCATTCTTGCACTATAACCTATTTTGTATAAATTATGACGATTCAAAACTCACCTGTCCCCCAAACTTGATATCTGAGAATGTGAAAGTATATTCTTTAAAATAATAGAATAAAATGGAAGTACAAACAGAAACCACAGTTGAATATAAATATATACAAAAATATATAATATAAAAAACTATCAACAAAATACTCCATAAATTTCGACCACAAAAGCCGGTATCTCAGTACTTCATGGTACTACTGGTATTAGTCTAGGTTTGTTCTCGTTCGAAATATAAACAGTCCGAAGCCATCGCAAGCATGCGCAGTTCCACGGAACATGAAAAATTACAAGATTCTGTGAAACTGCGCATGCTCCTGATGGTTTCGGACTGTTTATTTCTGGAACGAGAACAAACCTATCAATTATCCAGTTCAAATAAGTGACATTTATGTTTGACAAATACCTCATGAAGGGGGCTACATAATATGGTAGATAAAAAAATGACTCAAGAATTCACTTTTACCGCAAGGGGAAATTTAGTCACATTTGTAGATTCAAATCGCAGATATTTTCAGATAACAGGTAGGTAAAAACAGTATCTTGACGTCTCATCAAATTCGCACCTTATGACTAACTGATTTTTTTTCTTCTGTTTTTATTGAGAAGACAAAATGACATTGACAATGTTAGGTAATCTGGAAAACTTGTAGCAGAATAGATTCGCAGTAACGTAATATTTTTTTAGGAACTTTCCATTGAGAATCATTAAGACGCCTCAACATTGTGATGTAAATGCAAATCAACAACAACAAATAACATAAATTTCCGGCTGAGCTGAAGAAACACCACGGTGGCACACTTCTTAGGATCGTTCTGATTAGTCTGTACAAATTGACAGCCACTATTGCCACATTTCCGTTTCTTCACCATGAAAAAATTCAACCATTCAATTCAATTCAATTAAATATTTGAGATAATGACGGTTATTTTCATTTGACAGAGACAGGAGTTGCTTCCTCTCTTGATATTTTCCTTCTGTTTCCAGAAAAAATATTTAAATATTCTCGAACTATTAAAATACATGATTTTTCTTTCCAATAGTAGATCAATTTTTGGAGGGTATTCAAGTATTGTGAGTATGAATTCAATTACCAGACAGTATTCAAATATTGGAAAATATTCCATTACTGATAAGTATTTGTTGATACTATGGTTGACACAAATGATGTCGAATATTTTCCAACTCTGCCACTAACTCCTCAAGTTTGACAGTTACTCTGAACTGCTACTCTGCCCTAATATCACAAGACTACAACTTGAAGAAATGTTTAAATCTGGCGGTATTCAAAAACTCAGATATCCCACCCACAAATGCCAAGTCACTCAATGTACTGGAAGTGACAAAAGATACCGGCTTTTCGTCTCCTCCGGGACCTAAAAATCCAAACTAAACCCCGCATAGCTGTCGAACAGTTCAACTGGTCAACAGATCCTGATCGGTGAAGGCGGGCTCATCCGCCCCAGGTTGTCCAGGAACTCGCCCTTAAGATCACTCTGATTGGTCTAAACGATTCGCCTATACGCGCATGCGGTAATAGTGAATTCTTGCAAAAATTACGGCCACTATTGCCACATTCCCGGTTTTTTCACAATGAAAAAATTCAACATTGACTGATTAAAGGTGTTGCTTCCTCTCTCGATATTTTTTTTCTGTTTCTAAAATCCATATTTGGATATTCTCGAACTATTTAAATGAATGATTTTTTCATTCCAATAGTAGATCAATTTTCGGAGAGTATTCAAGTACTATAAGTATGAATATGATTACCAGACAGTATTCAAATATTCGAAAATATTCCATTACTGATAAGTACTATGGTTGATACAAATGAAGTCGAATAATTTCTAACTCTGCCACTAACTCCTCATGTTTGACAGTCACTCTGAACTACTACTCTGTCCTAATATCACAAGACTAACACTTGAAGAAATGTTTGAATCTGGTGGTATTCAAAAACTATCAAAACTCAAATATCCCACCCACAAATGCCAACTCACTCAATCTACTGGAAGTGACAAAAGATACCGGCTTTTTCGGCTTTTCGTCTTCGGGACCTAAAAATCCAAACTAAATCCCGCATCGCTGTCGAACGAGTTCAACAGGTCCTGATCGGTGAAGGCGGGCGCATCCGCCCCCAGGTTGTCCAGGAACTCGAAGTTGAAGTCTGTCTGGGGGTTGAAAGAGGCGAGCGCGCTGCTCTGGCCGTTGGTGGGGCCCAGCAGCTGCCCGGCGTGGCTCGGGGGCTGCTGCTGCTGAGACTGGCTGGAGACCGTCAGCGATTGAGATTGTTGCATGTGGATGTTCGTCATGGACATCTGGGGGAACGATATTGAATTAGAGCACTGTCAGTCACGTCATACGCATACGACGTAAAATTGTCGGCCATTGAACAGCTTTTTTTGTGTCAAAACTATTCATTATTGGTCAAAACGGCTTCAATGTCCCTATCTCAACTTTTGATTTACTATCTACTGACATTCAATTGGAACATATACAGTGTGATTCAAGATTCAGAATTCTGATCACCCTGTATCTGTTCCAATTATTAAATGTCAGTAGATAGTTTCGTCACAGAAAAATCCTGAAGTTGAAAAATCTCGATTTTGAACACCCTAGATCTCTGTAATCATTTTCGCTAGACCCTAAGTGTGATACATTGATGAAATCAGCTCTTCAGGGAGAATCTAAAAATACACTGAAAAATAGGGTGTTCCATCAAAAATAATCAAAAAGTACCCTGTAGATCGTTTGTTCCGAGCACCTTGTATTTTCTGATGTAGTGGAAATAAACTTTATCGAAAATCACTTCAGATGATATTCAAAATTTTGCAATCGGTCCAAAAATAACTGAGCTAGAGGGGGGGGGGACATTTATGGCGAATCATCCTGTACATGATGGGCCCACGGCCGAGCTGAGATAATAATATGTATGGCCGACAGCTGTTCTTAGTTGTTCACCCTGTAACAACATCATATCCCCGAACCCCATCACTCACATGCTGGTTCTGTTGCTGCTGCTGCTGCATCATGCTCTGCTGCTGCTGCTGCTGGTGCATGTGCAGCATGGCCTGGCTCATGCCGCTCATCTGCGCCATCGGTCCGCCCTGCGTCGACATCGCCTGAGCCTGCCCCATCTGCCCTGCCTGCTGCCCCAGCTGCCCGCCGCCCGGCTGCTGCTGCTGCCCGCCGGCGCGAAGCTGCTGGTGCTGCATCGCCGACATTTGCATGCTGCCCGAGTTCATGTTGAAGCCTGTGGCAATAAACGTTGCATACATAAAGGAATATCAAAACAATTCAAAATCGTTTTAGAAAATTAGTTTAGTCAATAAATTCCACTTAGTGGAAACAAATTCGCGAACAAAAGGATTGTGTATTACATACCAAGGTTCATTCCTGTCGTGAGATCAGTTAGTTAACCGAGATGCAAAGCGTCGAGGTCAATGAACTCAGTATGAATGATAAGCAAGGCAAACAGAAATTGTCCTCCATGGGTAAGTTGAGAATTGTTCAGATTCTTAGAAAAACAATAGTTATTTATTTTCAGGATGTGTCTGTGGATGTTCATAACTTGGATTCTAAAGACAATGTTTTTCATATGGACATTGATTTGCTTACAACTTCCAGCTCCCATGTAAGTTTCAAAGTTTTTTGATAATGAAACCCACAAACTGTTTCATTTGAGAAGGCCTATTCTATTGCAAAGGAAAGTGAAATCACTGAAACAAAAAGTAAAAAGGAGAATGACAATTTAGTTATTGAGTTTTTGCTCGGGTTTTTGACTACTCTTCTTTCTTCATCGATGAAATAGGAACAGACATAACAGTGACGGAAGGAGGAAAAGAAACCTGAATAAATATTTTTGGTTGTTCCAAAATCAAGAGTGAAAAATGGACTTCCACAAAAAAATCGACTATGTTAGTCTAACCATTGTCTGCTGAATATGGAGAAAAAATCTAGTGAGCTGGAGTATCTGGTCTGCTCAAACAAGGGAAATCACATACAGGGTTCTGTGGCCGATACAGTAGTGCCGCCATACGGTCAACCCGAGGAAACACTTATTTCAATTGTTCTCCTGTCAAACCTACAGAACCTTGAAAATCGTAAATGAATTGAGCATCCCTCAGCGGTGCTCTCGGCAGTCTCGGACGGCGAAGTAGTTTGTTCAGTGAGTTTGAGTTCAGTCACGACATTCACTGGTCACGGTCACTCAGTCACTCAGAAATTCAAAAATAGTTCATGCAGATATGGAGATGACAGATATGTAGAGACCGAGACCCTTACTGGAATACTGGCCCTTACAGCCCTGGGGCCCGATTCTCGAATCTGTAGGAATAAGATCCTTTATGAGAATGATCCGATGCTTTCAGTTCTCATAGGAGATGATGATTTGTCATGAAACCTATTCTTGAACCAGATGGAATCGTTTTTCCCGTGAGAGGTAGAATCAGTAGTATCGATTATTACCATTTGATAAGGGCTCTGATTTTCTTACTTGTAATGATCCTGTAACACTCAATATCGAATGTATCCATGAATGGAGATGGTTTCGCAATTTCTGGTAGACACAATAAGAGGAGACAGAGTTTGTTACACATTGAAAATCAGAATAAACTACTATAATACTGGGAGCACAACACAAAACTATATCTATAAATGAAAGGAATATTAGAACAATGAGAATTGAAGAAGAATGATATTCTAGAAAAAAAAAATACAAAACAAGTCACGATGACACGACAGCTCTTGACACTGACAACTAGTGACAACTTACATAACCACAAATTTCGAAAATTTTGTAGAAAAAAGTGAAGATTATTTCGTCCGATACGGTAACATACTCTAGTGGTCATACATTCAACTGAGCTATAGGGAAGACCAGTGTATCAGCACACTAGATTTTTTTCTCCATATTTAGTAGACAATGGTCTAACTCACGTATTCGGCCAATTGGCGTATTCGCCCAATTGACTTTCGACGAATATTCTTTCGGTCAACTACTGACATCGACCCGAAATAGACTAGATTTCCCCTGCAATCAGAAGATTAAAACTGTTTTCATAAGTTTTAATCTCCTGTTCTAATAAGTATTTAATTTAATGAGCTTTAATCTTCCCCTGAAGATGCTAACATAGTCAGCTAACCACGTGTCTAGGAGTTCAAAAAATCGGCATGGTTAGTGGTAAAACAGTGTAGTGTGATTTCATCAATAATTTTCTTATTTCTCAAAAAAAAATCCTGACCTTGTTGGAAGTTGTGCCTCATCGGCCCTCCGAACCCTCCAGGCCCTTGGTGTTGCTGCTGCTGCTGCTGTTGCTGCGCCATCAGCAGCTGCCTCCACTCGGCGCTGTTGTGCTGGGCGGCCTCCATGCCCGCCATGGGGCCCTGCTGTCTCGCATACATCGCAGACCGCTGCGGCGCCATCTGCTGCTGTTGAAGCTGCTGCTGTTGCTGCTGCTGGAGTTGCTGCTGCTGCTGGGGGAGCATGAACATGCTGCTGCGCATCATCGGGCCTAGGTGCGGCAAGGGACAAGTCTCGTTAGGCAGAATTCATTAGCAAGCGGTGGGTTTGTACCGCACCTATCCAATCTGATATGATGGATTAGTCGCTGCACGTTTTTTTTTTATCGCTTGGAGCGCACGAAAGGGAATCCCTACATTTTGAAATGACTGATGACATTGTTTAGTGAGTTCCAATAAATGAATAAGTAAGAAACGTTGTGTGATAGTGAATGTGTTGCGATCAATTAGGGTATATGAAATGATATATGATTAAACTAATTATTTTATACTGGTTTTGATACCGTATTTTTCATGTTTAGAATTATCATGGATTCCAATCATTTTTACTGATTTATTACTTTGTTATAATGTTATTAACAACCAGCTATGTTTCCTTCAAAAAGTACACAGACCAGGACATGGTGACAGCTGACGTTTTCTCATTTTATACTGTATGACTTTTTGAGATGGTGACAGGTGACGTTTTCCCATTTTATACTGTATGCCTTTTCAAGTCTTTATAATTAACCCCAAAATATGAAAAATAGACGGGTTCTTGACCAACGCACGTGTGCACTCCATAAGGAAAAGCGCTTTTTTTATGAAGAATTTTCGTGTTATTCCGTGATATTATACTGCCTGCCGTTGTAATATACAGAAATTCAAACCAACTGAAGCTAATAATAATTGATGACATGCAATCCGCAGCGACCGAAAGGGCTGAAAAGGGTTACGAAAAACTGAAGGAAATTGAAGGGGACTTCCGTGTTCTCAAATTGCATGCCGATGTAAAGAATTGAAGGTTTAGTATCAAAAACGCTCGGGAAAAATTGGCATACGCCACTCGTCTGACCAACGTATGAAAATTTCGGGAAAACTCTATAAAAATTTAACACTGGTATTCCGTGATTCCAAAATGCATGCCTCTAGAAAGATACTATATGATAACAAAGGTACTACAAGATAAAATAAACTTGTTGTATGTCTTTTATCTATGTTAGAATATCTAACTTATTATTCCATAAATAAATCATTATTTCTTTCTGAAGAATGAAAATTGAAAGTGATACGGCTTGGAAATCATATTTTTTATTGTTGTCGTGAGCGTGGCCGAGAACTACAACGCACCTCGAAACCGCGCAGCCAAAAATGGTCACGACGGTGTATAGGCCCGAGCCACACCTGTGTAGACATCAATGACAGCATTGACAGAAACCTAAATAATTATTAGTTCTCATGGGACAAAATTCAAACTCTATTAACAAAAATGACTGTGTATACAATGGTAGTATGTATTGAAATATGATAATTCAGAATTCATATTATGCATTATATCGACCAATCGAAGATCACGTGAGCGTGTGGGAATATTTCCACACTGATCGTTTCCACTTTCGCGTTGCTATGGTGAAATGAGATACTTTCTGAGCAACAACACAGTGTGCTGTATGCTGCTTTCATAGTCGTAGGAAAACGCATTTTCAATTCTGATTCGAGATTAGACAAACCGAACCCTTTCCCAAAACGAAACAAAAATTGAGTCTCACCTGAAGGCGGCATCGGCTGATGGGCCATCCGCCTCATACCGCCCGGAGGAGCGACGGCGTACCTCGGCCCGCCACCCCCCTGCATCATGCCCGCGCTGGTCTTGTAGTCGGGCGGCGGCGGTCGCGGCCCCATGTGCTGCTGCGCCTGTTGCTGCTGCTGCTGCAACTGCTGCGCGCGCAACACCTGCTGCTGGTGCAGCAGCTTCTGCTGCTGCTGCTCGAGCGACTGCTGCTGTTGCACGGTGAGCATGCGCGAGGCGGGGCCCATGGAGGATTGAGCGGCGGCGGAGGGGCCGGCGTTCATCGGTCCGGGACCCATTTGGCCGCCGGAGGGGCCCATCGGGGTCGGCATTCCGCCTGTAGGAATGGCCACTTGTGTTAGTAATGATTAGAGTTCCTAAATGTACTTGACACTGCTGTTTTGACGTTTTTTGTACGTATATATATACCTACATATAAGAGATTTATTTCATAGGAAGAGTATATATTTCGTTGGTATATATGTACATACCAACTTGATATCGACCTCCATTGAGGTCCTTCAGCCTTATCATTCAATATTTCGAGGAAAAATAATTTTCTAATCAATTTATCGTACCCTTTTACCCACTCGAGGAGTCGCTATGCACTCTCATACAAAAATCTAAGATAGAGAGAGATATATGGATGTACTCTTCCCAGGACTTGTGGAGGATGGAAGATGCGAGGATCCTTTATCTAAAAAAACATATTCATGTCCTTGTCTGGCAAAACACATGATTTGCTTCAAAATCGTTTGTGGTTAATGCTTGTCTAGTGTCCGTACTCTAATATACAAGAAACGTCAAAACAGCAGTGTCAAGTACATTTAGGAACTCTAGTAATGATGAAGATGGAAAGCCCTAATTTCGAGTGACAATGGAAAATGGAAAAACTTCACCGCCCCGTGTGAGAGTCGAACTCACAACCTCTGGGTTACATGCCCAACGCTCTGCCAATTGAGCTAACGGGTCATCCCGTTGAATGTCGAATTTGAAGAGGATGGGAATCATGGGTTGAATAAGGGCTAACATTATTTATTGTCCAGCAAAAAGCGCTACTGAAACTTGAGGTCAGGGTTGGTAGAACTGATAATTATACTTCTCATTTTTGTGTCATTTGGACTCTTCTTACGACATCTTCTTCTCCGTCAATGTGAGAATTGGTCGTGAAGAACGTAAAGTTCCACATTGATAGAAAAAAAAATATAAGTCGGCTCAAGTATTTCCATTACAGGAGGTTCTCTCTCTGTTTAAATATTATGCATCAGTTTTTCCGAATATTTTCGATAAAACAGGCCATATCCCTTAAGAGCTATCTTGCACAACTGGTGAGACTGGAAATGTTAGCCCTCATTGAGAAAAATGCGTCTCAAATGAGTTGCTTGGATGTTGACAAGAACCAAAATCAAATAGAGCAGTTAATCGATTCGACAGTAATATGTATGTATATCCACTTACAGTGTTAAAGTAAAAGTGCGCGAAATTATTTTTTATTATTTATTTCACGCAAATGAGTCCCCGAAAACTTTTGTCCAGACCAATAAACACCAACTTTTCCAATTCTGGTTCGAAAAGTGTCATGTTGATTCTAAAAAGTATTGTCACGAATAGGGTTATTTTCCTTAATTTCATTCAAATTCATAGAAGGTTCGAAGTCATTGAACGGCCACGTCTTTGTTTATTAATTCCAAAATTTTCGAATCGTGAATGAACTTTTATCATAGTAGTTGAACATAAACACAGGCGTGACATTGACTTCAACGAACCTGGACTATCGACCTGATTTCCAGTCCGCGAGTCCATTTTTCGGCCCGACCAAAGAGATTATCGTTCACTCGAGTAGGGCAATCATTCTTGCCAGGCGTGTATATCTCACCTGGCCCACCGGCTCTCCTCAACGTTTGCTGCGTGAAATTGATGGTCTGCGTCTGCGACATCGAATAGCTGTCGGTGTGACCGCCGCCCATGCCGTGCGGCATGCCTCCCATCCCGCTGGGCATGCCGCCTTGCCCGCCCATGCTGGCGTTGAGGCCGCCCATGCCGCCCATGTTGTTGGGCATGCCCATGCCCGGCCCGCCGCCCGACATATTGCTGGGAAGGGAATCGGCACCTGGAAGAGCAACGTGACGATAATTAGTATTTTGTATCCGATGATTTCTTGACGTTTACTACCTATCATTTGCCAACAGTTCAATTTCATTCTATTCTTTTATTCATTCATTTATTGAAAATGTAACTTCTACTCAGTAACAAGTTCTAGTATATGGAAGTAGTTAAAAATAATAACTGTTGTTCCAGATCATGGAGCATTTTGCCTTGTTTGCACTATTATTAACTATGCTATTCGTATGCCTTGCATCTATGTCCTGAGTCAACACTGATTTTTCTAGAACTATAATATTTGCTGATGATGGAATAATTTAAGCCCGAAACATGTTCCTTTGAGATTGGTCTTTGATCATTCCAATAAATGTTGTGGAGATGACATTGGGTTTTCATCTATGGGTTATTAATAACTTCCTATGCTCACCAGACATATTTCCAGGCCCGCCCATACCGCCAGACCCGTGCATGCCGCCCATGGACCCCTGCTGTCCACCCATCTGTCCGTTGCCCGACAGCATACCGCCTCCCATCGATCCCTGGCCTCCCATCGTCCCCTGACCGCCCATCGGTCCCTGACCGCCCATCGATCCCTGACCGCCCATCGGTCCCTGGCCGCCCATACCGCCCATGGGCGAGTGCTGGTGCTGCGACCCGGCGGAGGACAGCGGGCTAGGCTGCGAGTGCTGCTGATTGGCCGACGACGATTGCGTCGATTGGCTCGAGGTCTGGCCGCCGTGCTGGCTGAAGTGCATGCCCTGTTGGGCGGCGATCGAGACGTTGCCCTTGAGGTCGCCGGTGAGGTGGACATGTTGACCGGCAGATACCTGAAGATATTCGGAACATGGTGAGTTGGCAAGAAATAGAAACATTTTTGATTATTAGTTTTAGTAGAAAGAGTCATTCTTCATAAAAAGTCGTGCAATGCTAAAAAACGAAAATTCAAATATCAGATATTGATTGGAAAAAAGTATTCTCAGATGGATAATGGATATACAAGGTGATTCAGGTTTCAAAGTACAAAAAATTTCACTATAACATGAGTCTGATCTCGATCAGTAGCGAATCTACAAGGGGTCAAAGTTCAATTATTTTTTTCTATTAATTAAAATATCTCGCCCACTTTATTGGAAATTTGGAGTGGTTGATACTTCATAGGAATAAGCATTTTAGAGATTTTTTTCAAATATACAAGGAGATACGTTTTTGGAAGTATAGGCTTCTTTATCCCCTCTAAACTTTTTCGTAGTACGCCATGAGAAAAAAATTGGGAAAAATTGAGATACACATATAGTCCTTAAATTGAACGATCCACCCTATTTGATAACTGAAAGATGTCAGAGGCGTACTAAGAAAAATTTTGGGGGAATGAAGAAGCCTCTACCCTCAAAAACGTATCACCCTGTGTATTATGAAAATCTTTGAAATGCTTCATATGATGATCTATGAAAAATTGATCACACCAAATTTTTTTATTTTTTTTTATTCACCACCATAATGTAAATTACATTTTATTTTTTTTTTTTTTAGTTCACTATAGAATAAGAAATACAAGTTCAAACATATGTATAGCCTAATTTAAATAAGAATATACTTCCCGGTGATCCAATATAATTCCTAAACAGCAAATTGAAGCTTGCTGGTATCGGAATAATGAATTTTCATAACATGACATGTGTGGAAATATAAATTGTGTGATCTCAATGCAATACATGTATACCAACAGATTACTACTGTATCAACATTAGAACTACATTTAAGTGATTATTTTCATATTTACATCTACTAGTTAACAATAACAATATGTAGATGCTCCAGATAACGTATAACAATAATATAGAATATTGAAATAAAGATAATAAGAATAAAAAGACTATTAGTATTATTTAACAATGGTGAACAACAACAGAGAAAGCAGTAATATGGGGATACCAAAATATCAAATTGATATCTTCAGAAGTTAGCAGGATATTTCAATAATAGAAAAAAATAATTGAACTTTGACCCCCTGTATCTCCGCTACTGATCGAGATCGGACACCTATTTATACACACTTTTTTTTCAAAATGATGAGATCTATCTCCTATTTCAATTTGTTTCTCAAAACCTGTATCACCCTGTATATAAATAAATAAATTATTTTTGTGATGAATATATCAACTCTTCATCGGTATATTCAACAGAAAACAACTAATTTCCTGGCTACATGCCACGACGAACGTTGAATTATATAAATTTAACACACACGATAAGAATCTGAAAATGCACATGATATTAAATTATTTCAGTCGTGTACGAGATATGCAAAAAAAAATGTGGTGAAGACCTATGTGGTAAAGACCTTTATTTTCGACATCGAAAATTGTTATTGAAAAAGGTTGACTGGAATTGAAAACTACGTTCAAATATCTAATAACATCTATGATGTGAGCGAAATTCATATTTTTTGACATACTTCGTATACAAAAAATCTATATCTGATATTTGCACTAATTGGTTCTAGGCCTTGCAGAACGTTTTGTCTTTCGAAAAATTGATATGAATCAATGAATTGATGTTATGGATGACTTGAAAATTTTCTATTCTCTTATGATGCCAAACCTCACAAAAATGCTTAGGCAATCACAATTTCCAATATCATTATTTCATGTTGGATCACATAAAAGAGAAAATATCTCTATTTAGTTGCCTAATTACTAATTAAATACACCCACCCAAATATTGCAATTGAAGTGAAAATGTATTCAATTTGTGAAGAGAGACAGTTGCAGCTTATTTCAATAATGATAGCCTGACAACCGATTACTTTCTGAAATCTAGTAAGGTATCCGATTTGGCAATGCTCCAAACAGTGGCGTCACTTAAAATTGGGACCTGGAGAAAACATTGTTGTACAGTCCCTTTAATACCGGGAGCGGAACTAGTAGCAGATTTCATGGGGTAAGGTGAATTGAAAATGCGCACTTGCCGAAACTTTTCAGTTTCCAGGCCAAGGATTTGAATTGAAAATTTGAACACTTTCCATTATTATTTTTTTAAACATATTTATTGTGGAATAAGAAGAAAAAACGATCATCAATAATAACTGGTAATATACAGGTTAACAACAAGAAAAAAATAATTTATATCAGTGCGACACCGATGTTGAAGGACAGAGGTCGTTGTTGCCAAATATGAAATAATATATGAATAATATAAGTAGTTCGGATCAGAATATTTCAGAGCAGAATGTATTCCAAGAGTTACGCGATCTTTATACCTGATAAATCGGATAAAAGCATGACATGATTTTGAAAATTTGTAGAAACGGTAAAGGGAACACGGCGAAAATGTCCTGATTTAAATAATTTTCTTCAATAATCATAAATCAATTACGATAATATAGCCAACTATGACAGTTGTTTGCCCAAAAAATATGTTCACTTGATTTTGGAAATCATATGCTGGGTCCATAAAAAATATAAAGAATTCAGATACTTGATGTCGATTCAAACTACTCGTATAGCAGCTCTTCCCTGAACATTAAATTGCCTAATCCCAGATCAACTGTCACTAAGAACTTTATTATCTACGAAAGCAAGAAGTTATTCAATCATCTGCACCCGAAAAGAATGGAAAATATACAAAAATTTAGGAAATCGGTAGAAAAAGTTTATTTTGCAGAAACCTCAACGAATTCTACTAGGTTTCCTAATTTCATTTTTTAGTTTCTTTTATATTTTATATTTTTAATTATTTATATTCAGTTTACTTCTAAGACTATGTGTGACTTCGGACGTAATGTGAACTTGACTGGTGTGAATAGTACCTGAGTTCTCTAACGCCTTGTCAATAAAAAATTATTTTCTTCAGGCAATAAGGTACATTTTGATTTGATTCAAAATCGACAGATTGCTGACTCCACGCTATATTTTGGTGGTTAGTATAGATGAACTTTGTTGATTTCGGAATAGAAAATCAGCAGATTCAGTACTGACAGTTGATTTTGGAATAGCCTGAGTAATAATGGTCTTCTTTTCCACGACTACCCGCCACTGGCTGCAAATATTTTTCCAAGTGCGACAGTAACTTTTCACCTAGCTTCTCATGCTACAGAGTACAGGGTTACCTATAATAACTCTTCCGAGCTCGGTATACGGTGAAAATAAACAGCGTTTGCGCTCAAGTTAACAAACTGAGTAGGCATCAGATTTGCCTGTGAATCCGTAATAAGGCTACTTTACTTGCTACTGCTACTCGTGGGAAAAGTACGAGCCACTTCCTCGTTCGAATAAGAGAGATCCGAAATGGACCGTTACATAGTAAAACTGTAAATGCTTGCCGTAATTTTACGGCATATGAATGCAATCCACAATTATTCCACAATAATTGGGAGACAAAATATAAAATGCATCAAACTCGGTAGGTAGTAACATCTTCAAAGCCAATGGGGGATGGAGTGAATTTTTGGGGGACAGTGGAAAGATTATCAAATACAAAAATATGCCCAAAAACCATAATAATATTTTGAAATGACTTAATACGTATTTCGGCACGTTGCCTTATCCTATTTAAACCAATTATTTTACGGTTTAGATTTGATTCAATGAACATTTTGATTCAATGAACATCGTGCCAAAATGCATGAAAAAAGTTTGGAACTATACGGATGGTTCCTTAATCATTAATTGCGATTAGGTAGAGTCTAGGGTAAAGTACAGGGTGGGCAAAATTGGGCGTTTTCACCGTCTATCTCAATAACTAGAGGAGTTATCGAAAAACCGATATACATGTTCCGGGTTCGATTTTGGAGAAACCTCGAATGGCACAATCAAAATTTAGATATCTTCATTCGTTTTAGAGATACAGGGGGAAATTGAAAATTTGCCGATTTCGATTTTATTTCCTGACTACTTTACGGTGAGAGGTATCATAAAATTTCAAACGTATATTTATACAGTATGATGCGTGGAATCCATTGGCATCATCAGAAATTTTATACAGGGTGACGTTGAAAAGATACGGCAGCCAATTATGTTTTTTCTAATGGAACACCCCGTATATTTTGGCACAGTTGAATAGTCCCAGGCGGTCTCATTACAAATATATATATAACCCTACCTTTTCCTTCTACAATTTCAAAATATATTCAGTGTGTCACATTTCTTATGGTTACACCCCCGTATCTTCTGTATCTGGAATTTGGACATCTTCTATAAGGCTATATTTTTCAACGCGACCTACTGATTTTCTAATTGAGTAAATTATTGGTCTTATTTCTGTATCTCAAATGTCTTGATAACAATGATATCAAATCGAATAATTTCCCATTTTATTTCTCACCAAATATCCATTTGTCTGGAAATAACATTCCCTATGATATTCATTTTCCACCTTTGGTGAATATATACAGAGTGTCATTTTCAACCTCGATTCTGCCTGTTGATAGCATTATCCAGAAATATCGATGATTCCATAGCTGCTGGCGAGCAGTGTTATCATTGGAGATGATCCCACTTGGTCCATGACTCCATGAGTGTATCATTTGTATCTTTCTGAGAGTTGCGAATTTTTGAATCCTACCTCAATTATTTTTACAGAAGATACGGGGGTGTAACCATAAGAAATGTGACACTCTGAATATATTGTTGCGAATATATCTGAAATTGTGGGAGGAAAAGGTAGGGTTATATATATATATTTGTAATGAGAACGCCTGGGACTTCTCAACTGTTCCAAAATATACGGGGTGTTCCATTAGAAAAAACATAATTGGCTGCCGTATCTTTTCAACGTCACCCTGTATAAAATTTCTGATGATGCCAATGGATTCTACGCATCATACTGT